CCAGTAGCTGGAGCCATAGAGGTGATCCCTGGTGATCACCCAACAGTCATTTGTAAGAACTGTGTACAGGAAGAAGAATATTTTAAAGAATATTTTAAATTTATTAGGTGGCAAAGAACTGATGGAAGGAATGCCAAGCATGTGTTTACCAAGCCTGCATGGTTCTGAGCTGCAGGTCCTTGTAGAGGAGGCGAGTTTTCCCTAAACTCAATGTTCAGTATCACTGTGTGCTGAGAATGTTGAATTCCAAGACAAACATCATTAGGTCAGCCCTGAAGGTACACAGGAAGCCTGGAGACAGAGACACAGGTATAACTGGTCTCGTGAGTCATTCAGGGACATCATAGAGCAACTACAATTTGGAAGAGCTCACTAAGAAGGTGATACCTGACCTGAGTCTCAGGGGTAACTAGGAGTTAGATCCAAAGATCTGGCCAAAAGACATACAAGCAGCAGCGAGACAGAACAACACAGGAGAAAAGCATCTGTAGTCCTGTGCAGAAACAAAAGCAGCATTGAATATGGAGGTATGGACAGAGCTTAAGATGCAAAGGGATTAAATACCAACCAGAGAATTTGGATGTTGCCTCATTAATAGTGGGTGTTGATGGAGGGTTATTTTGGATAGCTGGGAATTCCAGAAGAAGGTGCAACCAGAACTAGAGACCCACTGGGAAGATATTTTTCATAACTCAAATAAGCAGTCTAGACAAGTCAAACTAGGACAGAAAGGTGAAAGTTTCAGAGGTAACATCTTCATTGTTGAGATGAAAGTGAAGTGTGATTCCAGGAGAATTCCATGGATTTCATGGGTGATGGGCAAAGTGGAGTCCATTAAGGAAGATCAGAGGGAAGAGAAAGGTAGGGTAAGGGGGTCACACAGTAAGCTTCTTCACAATGCCCTGATGAGAACAAGGCTACCTTTCCAATCAGAAGGGCAGAACCCAAACATCTGGAGCCCAGAGCAGTAATTAGATTTACCCCTGCAGGCTTGAGAAGAATGTACACAAAGGTAAGAGTCCATAGCAGCCTTAGCCATGTTTGATTCTCAAATGTTTTTGGCAGGTATTAATAAGTTTTGCAATAAAAAGCAAAACTTCATAAACAGTAATTAATTAATACTTAATGATATACAGGGTACTCTTCTAAGCACTTTCATGCTATGGTTATACTGACTTTCTGTGCCAAGACTTTCTATGTTAAGGTACTAACTCAGTCACACCCTTCCATGAACTAGGCACAGACCTGCATGACTCTAGGTTCTCTGTTCAAACTGAAGTACATCCCTACAGAGCTCCCTATGAATGGAGACTGAGTTAAAATATATGCCTCAGTCCTTAAGTGGGTAATTGCTGATGCTTAACTGCACAGATCAGACTTGTTCAGACCACCGGTGAAGTGTGCTTTGTATCACGAGGCCCTTCCTATGTGCACTGACTTTTCACTGGCACATGGCATCAGTCATTATTTCACCCTAGTGGGCTCACTTATTCCTTTGGAAGTACTAATATTGTGAATGCCCCCTCGTTACAGATGATGTCCCTACAGTGCAGGGAGAGGAGGAAGCCCAACCACAGTGACACTGATAGAAGTAGCAAAGCTGGAACTTAAACTGGAGTTTGTCCCAAAACTAGGATTGTTTACCTTGTAGCTCATGGGCCAGACTCTATATTTCACTCCAGTGCTACCAGAATAATTCTATTGGTGCTGGACTTAATTCAGCTCCAGAAATGGGAAGGACTCTCTCATTGTGTACCTAATGTGGAAGGGGCCCTGGCCAGGAGCCGTGGCCAGGAACCCTGCCTAGTACAACTGATGAGCTGCTGAAGGTGTGTCTGACCTGCCTGCATCCTGTTCTTCCTAGGTAGGGTTTGTGTCCCAGGCACTGTAAAGTGGATTGCTAGAATGTTCCTGCTTTGTGCTACAAAGATTTTGCGAGGTCCATCAAGCTGCTTCCTGCAATTCTAATGGAAGTTCATTGCCTTTTCTGTTCTGTCAGGGACTCTGCAGGCCTGCAGGGCTGTTAATGGGATTTTTCTGCAGCATATTACTCCCTTTCAAAAAGTCATGTTGTTGTTGAGTAATTTATAGGAAATGAAGGTTTTTCTTTTTAAAAAAATAATCATCTTCAGTCATGTCATTTTCAAGATTTCTCTTTGAATTAGTGTGTAGACTTTTTAATATTTCAGTAATCAAATTGCATCAGTCTTATGAAGTTTTCCTAGAGACTTTTTTTACGTCTCTTCTGAAAAATCTATATAATAGTCAGGCCCAGCTTTAAAAGTCAGACTTAATAAAAGACTTCACAGGTTCCTTGCCCTCCTCTCTGGGTTCTTAATCACTTTCAAAACAAAGCCATGGTGACAAGAAAATGGGAGCTGTGAGCAGAGAGCAGGAGAGGAGACAGCATTCTCAGGGCTGCACGGGGCGGACACAGTGAAGCCTGGAGACTGCTGTGTTCGATGCCTTTATAATTCCCGCTCTGCTTTCATTTCTGCTCAGTCATGGCTAATGGAGATGCTTCAGGGCTTCGATTAATGCCTCTGTCAAAGCCAGCAGACCTTTGTTAAGCATCTGTTCTCTGCCAGGCACAGTTGTCAGAAGGTCTCATGGCCTACTGAGTGAGGGTACCTGGCTTCAGCGCCTGGATTTCTAGACTTATTTCTCCTGCTGGCAAGCCAAGTGTACTTATCCAAGTCATTCTGTGCTGGGGTAATGATATTTTGATCCATGAAGTAGAATCTGAAGTTACTTTGACTGACTCTCTATTCTGCTCAGAAAGAGCTCCAAGGCATGTTACATGATAAAAGCCAGAGCAGGGAAATGTCCAGAACTTGCTCGCTTTTCAGAATATACTTACATATATTAAATTAACATGCCTGTACATATTCACAAGCCCATATCTATATGGATGTATCTATAAGAAATTATTGATTCAGAGCAATGAGGCACTTTATATTGTTCACGTCGGTAATACTGGGATGTTTGTCTTTCCAAAGTTGCATTCCATTTTAACACACAAAATTGGAGTAGCTGCTCTTTCTTGTGCTAGTTGAAGGTCAAATGAGATGCGGGATAATGGAACCATCTAGGCGATTCATGAGCAATGGTTTCCTTTTGGCTCCACAGGCCCGGGGAGTTGGATATACTCCCTGCTGTGCAAAAGTTCTGTTGGTTTTTCTGCAACTGATTGTGTTTGATGTTAATATATAACAGGAAGGGTGAAAAACAGGAATATATGGATTACTCTGAAGGCCAGGTGTACACAGGCTTCTAATGGGCTGGATTTTCTGGTTATGAAAGAGGCAAGTCTTTGCATTCCAGCCCCTGTCAAATGTCTCTCCATTTCAAATCAGAAGGGATCTGGCAACTTCATAATTCAGGACCCATTTCAGAGCTGAGAAGGTGAGGCCTCGGGAGTGAAGGTTATTACAGAGGGTCTCTCCAGTGGACTTGGTTGTGCTGCCCAGCACTGCAGACAAACTTTCCTCATGTTACTGGAGATATTGGGACCACAAAACTGAGTCCATGCATTGCTTTGTGTACAGCAGTGCTCATCCAAGGTCATAATTCTTCTTAGGATCTGGTCCTTGTCCTGCAGCTGAACATCTTTGTGATTATGACCTCCTTTTCAGTCATCAGTGAGGCCCCTGTGATGCCTGTATTACAGGGCATACCACCCTTCCCTCTGTTCCTTCCCTCCTGACAGGCAGTGCTGCTGAGTGTACAACTACCTTTTGGGTATTTTCTTAGAGAGATTGTCCATGATGGTCTCAGAGCTAGGTGAACACAGACCTGCACCTTCCACCCAAGTCTCCTCACCTTACAGCCCTCTTGACCCAAACTTCAAGATGCAGTGGCAGGAGTGAGTGTCGTTATACCCGCCATTGTCGGCCCACATAACACCTCTGGATGAAGTAGGGATGGTTGTTAACTTCCATTCGATCTGTTCAGCCCTCTCAGGTGGCACCAAGGAGAGGAAAGTCCAGGGGGAGCAGGACGCATACCAGAGGAGATTCCATCAATTCTGCACTGGACTTTCTTCCAGCAGGAGAGGAAAGGGACACAGGAAGTGATGAGACATTGCTTCCTCCCCTCCCGGCTGTGTGGGCAGGAGATACACAAGCAAATACTAATGCCACTGAATTGTCCTGCATACTCAGGCTACCCTCTCACTTCTCACTGTCCAAGCCTCTCTCCCTGGCCTTCCTTTCCTCTACTTTCAGGATAAGTGTCTCTAAAATGACCCAGAATATCTTCTTGGGTTAGCAAGAAAGGCAAAATCAATATTTTTTCATTCTCCTTATAGATGTAAGATCCTTGCAGGTTTAAGCATTTTTTTCTTAGATAAACAAACCATGTTGTAATTCTCTCTTTCTGCAGCAACTAACAAAACAGAATGCAAGGAGCCCTCTTGCTTTACATGCTTGCATTTAGGGCTCCTGTGAGGCACTCCTCCAACACCCATGCAGCTCACTACTGCACAGGGCATGGTTTCTCCTTTTCAGCACTATCTACCACCCACTCACCTGCTCCAAGGGCCTTCATGAATTCTGTATCTACTGATGAACAGGAGCCCACCTCCTTTGTCTGCGCTTCTTGTCACATATTCTGCAGTAGTTGGAAAAGGAGCTTGTGATTAGGAGTGACACAGTTATGAACCTCCAAGGTCAGGGTACCATCAGCCTCATCTTCACCCTCATACTTTGCTGTTAGCATTATTATCATTATCATTATCATTATTTTAATTTGAACTTGATTTTTAAAAAAAGGCTTGGAAGATTTTATTCTTTCCCCACATGAGAGGATAAAGAAGAGACTTACCTCAGACCTCTCTCTTGATGGAGTGTTTGACTCTTCTCTGCTTTCTAAGGAACACTTACTTTCTTGAGCCTCCAGGTATCTTGCGGATATTGACACAAGCACATGGAGTGCAGAATCCCTGGGCAGCCTGGCCCAGCATCATAGTCCTCAGCTTCATTTCTGTCTCATCCCCACAGGGAAGCTTCTACGTCCCTTCAGAGAACTGCGTGCAGCAGGCACACAAATGGCACCGTGACCTTTGTCTCTTGCTCCTCCAAGCCTACCAGGGACTTCGCCTCTACTTCCTGGTCATCATGAGGGATATCCCGGAGCTGCCCCACATGGACCTGGGTAAGAGAAGTAGAGAGGTGCCCACCCAGCAACCAACATTTCCCTTTTAAAGTGAGAAGAGAGAAACATTGGCATGCTTGGCAAATGCCATCATGAAGACACTGCTGTTCAGGCAGTGATCTACTTCATTCCAGTGGGAGAAAATCTTGGAAGTCCACATATAGGCAAGAAATGTACAAGTGCTCCAGGTACATTCCTCCACACATCCATTCACCAACTGCATGTTCACTGAATAGCTACTACACATTAAAATGCTTTTTACAGGAAAGTACTCAGGTTATATTAATTTCTTATGCTGTAATCTCAGGTTTGCAATTTATGAGTGTAAAACAATCCTGATAAAGAGCTAATAAATCTACAGCTAAGAACTGTATACACACTTACATTATGAGATATGATTGGGGAATATGGTGAATGTTTAATTGTTAAAAAATAAGTACAGTAAAAGACTCATTGCCATTGATCCCCTTGAAAAACATCTCCCCATAACTTCAAACACAGTGATCCCATCAGATGTGCGACTTCCTGAAGCAGTTCCGGAAGTCTCTTTTCATGAGTGTCTGTATTGTCCTTCCATGACTTCTTGGGTATCCTGAATTCATTCCAAATATTTATCATTCGTGGTCATTGTGGCTTTGGGGAGGAGCCAGGTGTTACACAGTGCCAGCTGGGGGAATATGAGGAAGAGGATGTGCTGTGTTGTTTCTATAATCTTGCCTTTCTGTTGGATGGCATTCAGCAGCAGACTTTACTGTACTTTTTCATCACACTTCACATCCATACATAAAATATGAGTGATTATGGAAACTTCTTACTATCTATCATATTTGGTCATCTGAGAACAAATTGATTCATGCACACGGATCTGCCAAAGGTTAGATTTTACAGATGATTAGCCTATACCCCTCTTGATTGACAAATGATCCATGTAAAGCACAGAAGTGTAGAATAACTGCCAAAGTTCACACAGAGATATGTGACAGAAACATGACAGAGATTCTCCACTGAACCCCTGTGGCAGGTCCTCTGTCACACCACCTTCAGTCACAATAGGTGATGTGTCGTGTTTCTGCTTAAAGTTTTCTAGACCAGAGCCTGGGTTAATTCAGAGTGAAATCCTATTTCAGTGTCAGAATGCTGCTGGATACCCTGAAATCCTTATCTACATCCCTACATAGCACCTTCTGAGTAACCATGGCTTTGGAAGTGCTCATAACCTGTCGATTATTGCAATGAACATACGTAACACTGATGGGTTTGTATGACGTGCTGCCCTGCCAGGATTGGCTTCTGAGAGCAAGGTCACCTCAGCTTCTCTATACACATTCCCTGGCATGTGAAGGAAAATAATGGTGCCACTTTGCAGTGTTTCCATTAAATTCTGAAACCTCCTGGCATTTAGTTTCATCAGTCCTAGACCCAAGCCTGTTTGCAGCACTGCTCTCTGAGTTAGACAGCCGTTGGCTTGATTTTAGCTATGAGTGTTATGTATGTGGTAGATACACACAAATTAGAGCAAGCTGCCTAGCTTGGAGGGAAGGGCTGTTGCCTAACAGCAGTTTGCTTCCTATGCAATACTTTCTTTTTGCCCCTGAGAGCCAAGTTTCTTCTTTCACTCTTTATATTTCAATCATATTTTACTGAGAACTTACTCTCTGCCAGGCATTGTGTGAGACACTGAGGACACAGCTGTGGTACACATGACATTCTACTATGCCTCATAGGGTTCACAGGCCAGCGGCCAGCAGCGGGTGGAGCGTGTGCTCAGTGTCCTCTGCTTGATGCTGTGGTGAGGAGGGACTGCTCACATTCATCTGGCTTCACTTAAAACTCACACCACAGCCATGTGCAGATTACTCACTACAGTGTCACGGAGCTATGGGAGAGTTGAAACATAGCCACAGCTGTGACCATCAAATCACAATCACTAGAAACCTCCAATCACTGCTGTAAGATGGCATAGCACAGACCCCACTGTTGGTGGCGTGAAGGTTATGATGTTTCTTTAGACCTGGAGTTGACAATAAGCTTCTGCATTTCTCTGACCCAAGACACAGATACACATCCATCCCCCATCTCCATTGCACAAGGGTGTGTGTATGTGTGCATGCGTGCATGTGTGTGTGTGCCTAAAGGAGCACAAATCAGTCTGAAATCAATTTGGACCACATGGCATGCTGCACAAATTGGGAGGATCTACTTTCTCTCATCAGTGCATTTGTGAGACGATGCTGGCTAGTAACCCAAGCTCAGTCTGTGGTTTCAGGTTTGTTCTCTTGATGAGCTAGCACCTCTGTAAGGGGAGTGTTCAGGCATTATGTCTGTCTCTGTGACTTCAATGCTAACATGAAATTTAGGCGTTTTCTTTTAATTTGTAGCTGTGGCATTTTTCTGCAGATTCATTTTAATGGTTTGCTATTTTCTTCTTCATAGAGGCTCTTGCTGTTGAAGAAACACTCTCTCAGCTGTGCTCCGAGCTGCAGGTAAGTAGAGAATGGATTTAGGTGTGAGGAAGGGAAGCAGTCTTGGCACAAGACTGGCCCTCTTCTGCCCATCGCACCCATCACAGAGGCTACAAGTTCCACAGAAGAGAGTGATTTGCAAAATATTTATTGTGTGTGGACAAGCCTTAAACAGCCTTCCCCAGGAGAGGGTGTAGGAATCTCCAAGGGCAAAAAATACAGGGTGCTCTGAGGCATGGGGAAAGAGAAAAGAGAAGGAAAGAGAAAAAGTAGCTGACTAGTACATACAAAATTCAATGTTCTGTTTCTTCCTAGAACTTATGTTCAGAAAAGCTGTATTATAATGACCAGATGGTAAAGCTTTGGCCCTCTGACCTCAGGAGGCCACCCACTGGCACTTGCAGTGGCCTGAGTGAGGTGATCAATGGCTTTGACCTCTTCAAGCTAGACAAGGCTTCCTTCACATCTCTAGAAACCAACGTAAATAACTTAACAAGGAGCCTAGGCCGGTAGGGAGCTAACAGGGGTCTATGATTCCTGTTCAGCTGGGTAGTTTCTAAAATCAGTGACAGAAATGCAGAACTAAGAGCACAGGAAGTCAGGCAATTTATTCAGGTTCACTCTGGGTTGCTAAGAAAGAGTATGTTCTGTTCTTTAAACTTCTACTGCGGAAGGCGAATAATTCCAGCAATTTATAAGGGGAAAAATTGTCAGTTTCATTATGGGGACTGGGTTATGGTGTTTGTATGTATGAGGAATATGTCATCAGTGCATGGGACAGATGCATATGCTTGTCACTTACAATCTCAAGGGCACCTTTGTATCTCCAAGCTGTGGAAGGTCTGAGTAAAGAAGTGTTTTTCTTATACACATTAACATGGGAAGGAAGTCAGGTTGTTTACTTAGCATGAGAGACAGCAAACCGATGCTGGAGGCAGGACTCAGGCTGTCTCGCTGTGACTCTGGACAAATTGCTAAACCTTTACGAACCTTGATTTACTTGCCTTGAAGGTGGGGATGAAGCTGTCTCATTTTACCCACGTGTTTCTTGCTTAGCCATGAGACTGACACACACTGGCTGGTTCCTGGCTGCCGTTCTCTGTGCGTGTCCTCAGCTACTCAAGGAAACAATTCTATGAGACCAGCCTGCTTAGTGGATGGCTAATCAGGACTTGAGTCACAGAGGTTGAGCCATTTGAACAGAGTGATGACCTCATAGGTAGAAGAGTCCAGCCAGTGCCCCTCTGCTGCTGAACCTCTCACTCTCCGACATCAGACTACATGGCAGGGAACAGAGGTGACATCTGTGAAATCTCACATGAGGTCTGGACCAGGTCAGAAAATAGGGTGCATATGAACCATGGTGTTTGTTATAATTGTCACTGGGCTCTGGCTGACCTTTCCTTCTTCATAAAGCAGGCCCTGGTGTTTTACATGCAGACTTGAAGGAGTAACGAGCCTCAGCATTCTGCATGGGGCAGTGGATTCACCGTGGAGGCAGGAGAGTGAAGGTACAAGCAGAGACCAGGGGACGGGAGCCAGGATCTGGGCAAAGGAGGTCTGGGGTCTTGAGGTCTGCTGACTTGCATGGTGGCTCTAACACACAGGCATGAAGCATCAAGCTTACCTGCTGGACGACTGACATGATTCCCATTCCTTTTCTCTTCCCCAGAGACTGGGAAAGAAAATTCCAACTTTGTGATGGTGCATTAGCTTTTTCTGGCAATCTGCTTCCACCCCAGAACTGGCTATGGACCTATAAAATTCATTTCATTATCATGAACCCCATAGGTTTGGAAGGACATACGACTAATAAAACATGCTCATATTATTCTGGAAGTTACAAGGGTCTTAGAAGCTCTGTGGAAGGAACTGGAAACTAAAACATACCTGGTGTGCTCAAAATATACAGTGATTATTTATTTTTTTAAATGACACATTGATACAGCTCAAAATACGCCGCCTTGCTTTGAACACACTTATCCTATCTTTCTTGCCTCTTTCCAAAACAGTTCTGGAAGACCACTTTCACTAGTGTCTCTGTGAGGCATGATTAAAAAAAAAAATACAGTGAATGCTGCTGCCAAGGGCCACCCAATGAAAAGCAGGTTTAGAGCCATTATGGGGTGAAATCGTTCACCTTATTCACAGATATGGCATCTTGCTACTTCTTGCCCTTTCCCAGAGTCAATGTGAATATTAAAGGTAACATTTTGAGTCAGTTTAAGATGACAAAGCTATCATAACAGTGCATCTAAAGATACCCATGAAAGAGACCTTCCAGAACTCATGGTATCTCTCAGTACTACAAAGGGAATGTGTCTGAGGCAGTAAATGCTGAGTGGGGTTAAGGCAGCCTGACCAGTGGGGAGAGCAGTGTCCCTGCTTGATGTGTCCATTGCTTGCTGCTGGTATAGGGCTCCCTGGACACCATCTTCATGGCAGGTCTGGAAGTGGGAGCAGGGAAGTCCTCGCTTATCCCCGTTTACTTTAGGATGGAAAGCATAGCTTCCTTCAAGCAAGCAGTGATCCCCAGGGGAGGCTTCCTCCTTTCTGCTGCTGCTTTGTCACACGTTTTTCCTGCAGGAGTTCAAGTGGGACACTGGGAGGAGACGACATGGCCACCCCAAGCATTTATCACACACACCTTGTGGGACTTTCTAGTCACCTTCCTCCATTCACATTATGCCCCAAACTACAGTGATGTTGCCCCTTAGAACAGAGGGAATGTTGTTACCTTGGGCTTTATTTGTTAATTCCATTTTGTTACAAAATACTTTTTGGCAACTGCTGCAGGGAGGTGGCTGTGTGTGTGATTAGGGTGATGAGGTGAATGGGATGAGCATCAGTCTACTCCTTGCTTTGCTACAGGACTGGCTTATCTGACTGGGTGGAAGAAATAATGCATCCAACCCAATAGCTTCCAAAGCAAGCCTGCAGCCTCCAGAGGTGTTTGGAGGCAGAACATCGCCACCTTGTGGCCTAAATACTAGAGCGCATATTTACGTCAGGCACTCGCTTTTGGCAGAGGGTGTGAGGCTATAAGCTGTATCAGGTGATTTGAGTGGGTTTGAGATGCTGGAACTATACAGCCAGAGAGAATTTCTCAGGAAACCTCACCCTCTGTAAGTCTGATAAACATTTACTATGCATCTGCTATGTGCTGGCCCCTCACATGGAAGAGATCAGTCAGGACTCACAACCTAGTGAGGAACAGACTTGTTCCTAAATAATGCAGAATTTGCACTGTGGTCCATGCTGGAACCGGGGAAGTGAGGATGCTGTCTGTGAAGCTGCAGTGAAGGAACAGGTGGACACAAGCCAGGCACAGGAGCAGGGCCTCCTGGACAGAGGGACAGCGCCGTGAGCCCAGGTCAGGCAGACTGGAGTGTTGTTGGGCGCCTGGAGCCAGGTCGGCTGCAGCACCCAGTGCATGAAACCCTGAGGTGGGGGGCAGGCTATGAAAGTGGGGTGCAGGGCTGGGGATTTAGCTCAGTGGCATAAGCACCTGCCTTGCAAGCAGGCGGTCGTGAATTCAATCCCCGATACCAATAAAAATGAAAAAACCAAAATGAAAAAGACCAAAAAAGAAAAAAAAAAAAAAAAGAAAGTGGGGTGCAGCAGCTGCCCAGGCTCTTTGATTAGGGGAAGGCTGTGCTCTCTGAAGAGGGTATGCATGCTTTCATAAATCCCTACCTGCGTGGGGCAGCCTTCCTCAGCCTCAGATACTAGCTGAGTAGCTACTGGAAAGCAATGTCTTGCTTGTTTTGTTGTTTTTAAATACAATAATTTGCAATTTTCTTTAGTTAAATTATTGTTTTGGTTTGCACCTCATAAACTTCTGGGAGACACCAAGTCTACTTGCCAGAGCTGCACCCTCCTAGCAGGCAATTCTAAAAGTAAGTGCCCTTAGCAAGCGTAAGTGATTCTGAGCAGCCTGTTGTAGAGTTTAGGGGAAGTCTTTTTATTTGCTTTTGTTTCTTTTGTTTGCCTCTTTGTTTTGGCCTGTCCTTTGCCAGACAGTCTTAGAAACCATTGTTTCTTTCAAGCCCAGAAATATCCTTACCAGTAGTGGTCCACTAAAACACTAGGCCCCTTGAGGCCAATGACTGCTCAAGTACCCGCTATGGAAGATTTCGCCTGAAATTTCTAGGGGGCAAAGGACAAAACGGAGTCTCTAAATCTCCATCCATTGTCCATAAGCTGTTGAAAAAGGCAAGCAGTGTGCACCGCGCCCTTGCTATGTGCTGCTCCCTAGATGAGTAGGTGGCATGCATTCTCCACTAGTCACCTTTTGCTAGAGTTAGTGACACAGGTTGTGATGGCTTCAGCCCCTAAGCAGGGGGCATTGATTCTATAGTGAGTGGCTGTCCATGGTGGTATGGTTAGCTCCTATGCCCTTGTGCAGCCAGGCTTCTGGAGGGCTCTTCAGAGCTTATTTAATTAAAGCCTGCCCTGCTATTGGTTTGAATGACACCCTTTCCTCCTTGCAATTCTATGATTTCCCAAACCTTAATGTGCATAGGAATTATGTATGTGTGGGGGGTGTCTGTTAAAATGTGAACTCTCCTTCATTGGTCTGAGTGGGGCAGGAGATCCTCTAACAAGTCACAGGAAATTCTTCTTTCAACTCCAAAAGCCAGGAAAGGGATTGCGTTTCCAGTCTACATATCCTAGGACATCCACATATCCTAGCTGCTCCCCTGTCTCCCTCTGCCATTTCACGAGGCCAAGCGTGAGAGCTGACTCGGCACAGCAAGTCTCCCCATCCACAGTGTGATGTTCCAAGCCACTCAGCAGGGCCTCTCTGTCACCACAAGGTGTGACAGGGACCTTCTGGGCCTTCTGTTTTGCGTCACACAGCCTCCAACCCACACAAAATACACAGTAGTAGGGCTAGGGATGTGATGCAGTGGTGAAGGCCTTGTCTAGTGGGTGCTAAGTCCTAGATTTACTTCTGCGGGCTGCTAAGAAAAATATAAAAGCATGTACTGTAAGCCTGACCCCCCTCCCTGACACACACACAGAGTCACTGCACTCACTGTCCAGGTTTAAAACTCTTACTGGTGATTAGTCACCCATAGGTGAAGAGTCAGATTGCTTGGCATGAAAGTCAAAACCATAAGCATGGGTTCACCTCTTATCTATGCCTCAGGTACCCCAGCCCTGTGTTTCACCTCCTTCTCTTCAGGGGCAAAAATGTGCTTCTTACTCCAGTGTCCTCCAGCAAGCCCAGAATCACTTATGCTTGCTAAGGGCACTTACTTTTAGAATTTCCTGCTAGGAGGGTACAGCTCTGGCAAGTAGACTTGGTGTCTCCCAGAAGTTTATGAGGTGCAAACCAGAACCAAATAACACTACCAACTGTTTGAATTGATAGAAGGATTCACTTACCATAACACTCCCAGACACAGCACCTCAAAATTCTCAGTTGTCAGTATTGCTATTGTGATTCCTGTGTACCCTGTTGAGGATTCAGGAAAGACTGTTTGTATGGATGGGGCAGACTGTTTGTATGGGTGGAGCTCATCTCTGTTGGGACTCTGCTGACTTACCTTGTTTTATTGCTGACTTAGTCTGCCTCAGCCTACGAGGCCCAAGCCAACTCTGAGATCATGAATTTGGGAGCTCCCACAGCCTTGCGTGTCTCATGGTGCTACATTCTATTCCCACCTCGCCTCAGTGAAGTATGATTTGTGTCATTTTTCTTCCCTCTACTTAGTCATGAAGCCACTAAGTCCTATTTTTATTGTGGTGGTTACCAAAATAACCTAGGTGCCTGATAGGTACTTTCTGAAGCAAATATGCAAAATGAGTCTCCAGTTAATGGCAGGAAGAAAATTATCCTCCAAAAGAATTATCTAAATGAATTCAATTCGAGCCATTGGGTTTTGCTTATTGGCTAAAATATTCCAAGACTTAAAATTTCTGTTACCAACTTGTCTTTGGACCTGACTCAAATGAATAGGTAAGCTTATAAACCTGAAATTTGCATCATTGAACATCTGAGTGGAGACAAGGGAAAGAGGTTAAGGAGTTGGTTTTCAGCATGGCTACAGCCTCTAAGAGTATCTGGAAGTTTTCAGGGAGTGCAGGAGACCCTGTCTTCCACCCACTCCCCCAGTGCTGCATCAGTGAAGGCTGAGCAGGCTCTGAGATTGTACTGCAGGCAGCAGGATGGCAGTCACCAAGCCAGTATGATAGGGTCAGTAGTGAAGTAGGAGGGGGAACTGGGCAACCTTGAAACCGCACCACTTGACTCCAGGCATCAGAAATCTTGTGGCCATGCATAACCTCCCATCTATAGAACAGAGTTGGAAATAACAGTGCCAACTGTTTGAATTGATAGAAGGATTCAATTACCATAACACTCCCAGACACAGCACCTCAAAATTCTCAGTTGTCAGTGTTGCTATTATTGTGATTCCTGTGTACCCTGTTGAGTATTCAGGAAAGACTGTTTGTATGGGTGGGGCAGATCCAGCATTTAAAGCAGGAGAAGACCCTGCAGGTGTGTGTGTGTGTATGTGTGTGTGTGTGTGTGTGTGTGTGTGTGTGTGTGTGTATGTGCGTGTGCATGTGTACATGGGTGTGCAATATGGGAGAAATTTTCTTAAAGATGAGTACAAGCACTAAGCCAGGGTTGTTCGCATGAAAGGATTACGAGCTATGGATGCATATTGATTACCTGTCATTTACCTTAAGGGTTCAGGGGTCTGGGTTTCACCGAAAGAGGCTGAAATGTTCTAGACTTCTGTAGAGCTGTATCCTTGTGGTGGCCCTAATGTGCAGCCAAGATTGAGATGCTTACAGAAGGAACATGATTGTCTGGGAAATTTAAGACAGGTTTCTGTAATGCCTGCACCTCCTAAGGATATAAGCAGGCCTCAGTTCCTGCATGCAAGCTCCCCTGGGCCCTCTGGGATGCTGCGTGTGTGTATCTTTCACTGTGTAGGTGTATTATAGCCACTGAAATGCATAGCCATAGTGGGACCAAATGCATCCTCCAGGACTCTGTGTGTCTCTGTGATACTTCCTGAACTCAGCACACTCTGTAGTACACTTCAGACATTGTACCAACAGAGCCAGAGAGGTAGGGAAAAGAGGGGTACATGGTGAGAGCCCAGTGATGAAGCAGCGTGTCAGGTAGTGAGTCAAGGAGGCTCACCGGTGACAGCACTGGGCCACAGTTTTCCTGCCTGTTAGTGGAAAGGACCATCACTAGTCTCCTGAGAAAGTCTTCCGTGCTTGCCGTGTGCACTGGCACAGGCTTGAGCGTTGATGGGCATAGCAAAGTCCTCCTGTGTCTTAGTTAGACGAAGCTTCTTTCACCTTACAGAAGCCATTGCTGTTATCAACTAGTGTACAATAATTCTCCTAAAGATGCATTTAATGAGTAACCTTCCTTTCTTTTCTCTTCTCTTTCTTTTTCTCCTCTCCTTTCCTTCTCTCTCCTTCATGCCTTCCTTCTCTTTTCCCTCCCTTCTCCTCCTTTCCCCTCCCCTTTTTTTCTCCTTTCCTCTCTCTCTCTCTCCTTGTCTCTTTCTCTGTCTCTGTCTCTGTCTCGGTCTCTGGCTCTGGCTCTGGCTCTCTCTCTAGTTCTCACTCTGGATCTCTCTCCCTTCAGAATTCATCCTGTCTTTGAGTACTACTGTCATGGGTGACAGAGTGAGAGGCACTGGTGCCTCCCATTGGTGCCAAGATACCAAGTTATTCAATAAGAGTGGCTGAATTTGCACTGTTTACCAGTCTTTGTGCAAGAGGCTAGGAATATTGAGGGGACTGAAGCTCACAGTGCTGGTCAGGAGGAACACTGGAGAGATCAAGGTGAGGGTAGTCATTTTGGTGAGTGGTAGAGCTTTGAAAGAATAAGCAGAAACAAGGAAAGATAGAATTTAATAGTTCTCTACTTTAGAGTACAAAGTCTCAAGTGGTGAAGAGAAGAAAGGAACCTGGAAGGTGAGAGGAGGCCTCCCAGGGAGAGGGTGCAGCCTGACCATGGGCCTAGTGGCAGTGAGTACCCAGGTCTGTGCATGCTTGGGCTGGGTCAGTGGAGTTTGGCCTGTGATAAGGTGGGACAACTGTGCCTCATTAGAGAGGGGTGCTGGTTGGAGAATCCAGTACTCCTAGCTCATCTCAAACCCTCAGTCTCTATTCTGTAGCTCTGTTACAGTGGCCCAGTTCCCTAAATCCTGACCCACCCCTTGGTCCTGCCCTTGCTTCCTGACGCCTAACACTCATCATTGTGTGGGAGACTGGCCCAAGTGTTATCACTAAGAACTCATTTCACCTCTTGGAAGAAGCATCTCAGAGATGCTATGTTTGAGCAAAGCCTTGTGCCTGGAAGTCAGTCATTAATTATAAATCAATAAATCCCCAAACTTAGGCAGACTCACTATGACAAAACTTCACCCTTTTCCTTCCTCCTCTTTGATGCCTCACCCCATCCTCTCATTCTACATCCATCACCAACCTTCAGTCCAAGAAGAGCAGAAAGGACCCAGTGTTTCAGGCACAGAGATTTCTCTCTATATTATTACCTACGAAGTCTGTTATTTTGGTTGCGTGCTCTTTGTGTATTCATTGAAGAACTGGATGCTCAGGACAAAGAAGAGAAAGAATAGATGCTCAAAAGGGCTGTGCCCATGTGCCCCTGGCCCACCAGCATGGCAGAGAACTCCACACCCCTCTTGTCACCTCACATTCCTCATCCAGTGTGAAGGAGGCTCCCTGAAGACAGAGGCTCCCTCTTACCCATATTTGTGCTTTGCTCATTCCACACATGTGCCTGAGACATCAAAGGTGCTCATCAAATAAGTGTTGAAAAACTAAATGAAATGAAACCCAGAGTTCAGTCTCAGTATTGGACAGCTGGCTCCCAGCCACTCCTCAGAAATGTGATCTTCCTTCTTACCTCTCTGTAAGTCAAGTTACTCCCAAAGAAGATGCTGCTCTCTATCATAAACTTCAGTACTTTTTTTTCAAAGTATCTTCCACAAAGACTCCAGGAACCATCCCAGTTTAATAGCTTTGAGTTTCAATTAAGACAATCTGTAAAACCCCTTAAGAAGTGAGAGGCATGGTGGCAGGAAGACAGTAGTGAACCAAGGCTCTTTAGCACTGGCCCTGTACAAAGCACCTAGCCAGTTACGTGCGATGAGGTTAGAGAGACTGTGTTCTCTCAGGAGATCCTCCAACTCCTGCTGGGAAGCAGGTATGTTACTGTGTCATGAAGACCTTCAATGAAATTCCAGCTTCCTGCAATCTCAGGCATTCTGTTCATTCACTCTCATTTTACTTTTCTGTAAAAGGATGCTTCTAGTATCCTTTTAAAGGGCAATTCAAGGATTAAGAAGGAAACATGTACAAGATACCTAGTGCTTCACCTGCCAAATAACATATATTAATAAGCGGGGGCTATAATAGAAGCAAAGCGCTGAGCTCAGGTTTTAAGGGTACAGAGATTCCAGTGTGAGGACCTGTGGTCCAGGGAGGTGTTGGGGAGGATGTGATGGTCAGCTTCCAGGTTTCCACAGTGGGAGGGGGGAAGTAGTGAAAGGTCATGAAAGAGTCACCTCTGGATCTGAGCGCTTCCAGGCAGGGTAAAGAGGTTCTGCAGTGATGAGATTAGAAAGATGGGATAGAGATGCTGAAAAGAGACAGGCACTGTACACAGAAGGAGAAAGTACAATACATTTCTGCAAACTGAAAGGTAAGCTGTGCAGAGAAAGAGGCCTTCTGACTGCGACCTTTCTTGCCTTCCCAGATGCTGAACAACCCCGAGAAGATAGCCGAGCAGATCAGCAAGGACCTGGCCTGGCTTGCCTCCCATCTCATGGCTCTGTGGACCCAGTTCCTGGACACGGTGACACTGCACTCCCGAGTGACCACTTACCTGACCCAGGAACACCACACCTTGAGGGTAAATTGTCAAATAGTATAGATGCCCTAATTTCTTTGGTTTCCTGGGGAAGTCTTGTAAGAGTTAGCACACTAAGCAGAATAAGCGCAGAGATTGCCCAACCTGTAGGTCTGAGTGTCTGTTCTGGGTCTTTCATGAACATGCACTATGACATTATCAACTCATTTTTTCTCTTACACCTCTGCTCTGTCATTCATAGCATACTTTCCTTGACTATATTTGGTGATGGAAGAAGAGCTTATCACAATGGGTGCCACAAGAACTTTACAAAGTACTCAAAGGGCTGGGGACATAATTCAGTACTAGCACACTTACATATCATGCAAGGTCTTGGTCCACAGTACCACAGCAAATAAATAAAAAAACTAAAACAAAGTTTGAAAAAATTCAAATGCAATACATTTATCAGTGCATGTCTTTGTCACTAACTCGGTTCCCGTGAATAAGTAGTAATGTACAACCAGTAGTGCTTGTATTCACACATAGAGGAGAGGTGAAAAGAACTGGGGACCATGGCTCACAAAATGGTCAGCAAACACACTTCTGTGGCTGGCTTTCTGTTTATTCTATAGTGGCTGCTTGCAAAGATTGTATGTTCTAATAAAAGAAATATAACCTGCCTTAAAAATGATAAAAAGCAATGCAAGAGCAAAGTCATAAGAATGCACAAAACCTAATAGATAATCTGTTTCAGCCCAGAGATCCAGAGGAGGAAAGCAACTCTGGAGAGGAGAAAGCCTGTTATTTCAGACCTCTAGCAGTGGGCAGAGTTTTCCTACTGTTTGTACATAGCACTTATCTCCTCCGCCTCCAGTTTTAAAAAGCGGAGGTCATAGTCACAGTCTTAGTCACTTTTCTGTCACTAGCACAAAAATACCAACATTCACATTTTAAAAGAGGAGAGGCTTATGTTGGCTCATGGGTTTTAAGAGATTTAGTTCACAGTTGGCTGGCTCCAACAGGAAAGTTTCATGGTGGAAGGAACTGGTGGGCCACTGTTACCAACCCCAGGGCAGGCAAGAAGCCAAGAAAGAAGAGGAGAGAGAGGACAAAAATATACTCTTCCAGATCGCACCCCCAGGACCCACCTCCAACCAGGCCCCGTTTTCTCACACCACATTCAGCCACTAAATCTACCAGTAGAGAAATCTACTGGTGAATGCAGCACCGCCATGGTTCTGTCACCTTCCACACACGTGGATTTCAGGATATGTCCTGTGGAAACGAGCACTGATTGTGGTGGATTTTAGACCTAAACCATACATCTTCTTACAAATTAAACTGTTTACATTGTTTTGTTCCTCAGGTCCGAAGGTTTTCTGAGGCCTTTTTTTATATGGAGCACCAAAAACTTGCAGTTTTAACCTTTCAGGAGAATTTGTAAGTAGTAATTGCTTACCCCCTTCATCCTGTACGATGGCTATTATGTCACATTCCACTCGGCTTCTTGGTTCCGACTCCTCTTTCATGTTGCCTCTGGCTGTTCACCCACATTTCCTGTAACTGCTCAGGGTGAAGGAGGCAGACTCACCATAGAACAGGGGCTACACATGGCAAAGAACAACCAGAGGTTTTGTTTTTTGTGTGCCATTTTGGACTTCCTAGGTCCCTGAAGACATCTGTGTGGAGTCCCCCACAAACTGCATTAGAAGCAAGTGACGTGGCCATGAGCTTTGTCAGAGTCTAGGTGTTTGAGCTGAACTATCCAAAAAAATGTAATTTGCGCTATAATTAAGTCCAAACGCCCTAATTTAGAGGACTGATGAATCTTTAAGTTTATCTTCTTCCAGTAAAGATTGAGAAGGACTCAAGACAGTGAGAGCTTTGAGTGAAATGAGTTATCCCTTTTCACAGATTTCCTTGTGGTTCCTCCCAGAATGTTTTCACCACTCTTATACCAACCCAGGGGTTTCTTAGTATTTCTAAACTGTATTTTTACCCAAAAACAAAGCCAAAACCAAAACAAAAGAAAAAAATCCAGAGGAAGGTGAACAGTATTTGGGGTGCTAGAGCAAATCCCCAGGAGAGGCACCTGGGTTTCATGTATTACAGGACACCAGCCCAGTCAGGAGGTCTTTTGCGCCCATCTATGTAACGTGACTTGTGGACTGGGGATACAGCTCAGTGACATAAGTGCCTGCAGCTAAGCTCAGGGGCCCCTGCCCACTCTGAAGAGCTCGGTTGCAGTGCCATGCCTTTGTTCTAGACACAAGTGACAAAGCATTCAGGGCACCTGGTTGCAACCTGCTCACCATGATGTGCAATAGGTCTTCTACAGGGCTATTTAGCTACTTTTATTTTTATCTTAACCTCACATGCTCTTAGTTTCTTTGTCCATCCAATGGATGAAGTGAAAGTTGACTGGAAATAATGCAGATGCCTATATACAGGAAATCTACACTACAAGCCGCAGAGTATGCTCAGGGATTGCTAAGTGATAGACAGTTAATAGGTTAATATTTATTGTCCCCCTAAGACAGTGTGGGTATAGCAAGAAATGAATTCAAGAATGTTCTATGGGTCCACTTGTAATGAACAAAAAGGTAAGATATCACTTTTTCACTTCTGATAGTGGCAAGGGAAGAAAAATAAAGCAAGGCAAAGACATGGAAAATTATGAGAAGCAGTAAATGACCAGTGCCTTCATAAATGTTTCACAGCCAGCTCTCAGAGACCAAGAGCAAACAAAACGCTCTGTTGTGTGCACTGATTTCTGTTGTGTAAGTGCCCCACAATGGTCAAGTTCAGTTTGCTCACAGGTTATTTCTAAATCTGGAGTTGAGAAGGGAGATGCACAGTTGACTTTTCTGAGGCAGCATGAAGTGGGCCAGGGCAGTGCTGAGTGTGGAGCAAGGACTGTTGGTCAGACTGATAAAAAGCAGTGACATTTGAACGCAGTCTAGGGTAGCAGTGAGCCGGCTATGGCATAGGAGAAGGTGGCTTAGGCTGCTGCAAAGGTTATGATGTGGAAAGAGAATGAACATGAAAAACAGCAAGAAGCCAAGTGTGGTTAGAATGGAATGAGCAGGTAGGAAAAGCAGAAGGAGGAAGGGAACACAGTGCAGGAGCGGCTAGCTCAAGAGGCTTATGGTCCAGGGAAATAATTCAGGTTGGGCAAATTTCAGTTACCTTTTAACCTGCAGATGAATTGGGACCACAGGACTCCAAATCTCAGATACATGGTTTGACATCTTAATGCAGTAACTTATAATACTTTTGACACCCATCTTCCTACCTGGTTACTTAGATGGTAAAAGATTCTTTGTTTCAGTGAATATCAGGTTAGTGCCAGCAACACCCCAGACATTATTGGAAGTGTTGACTATCCTACAATAAACCAAAAAGACAAAGGCTTTTTTAATTGCAAGGAATTCTATGGAAAAAAATGTACAAAATGTATGTCTGAGTGGAAGAATTAAAGATGATGCCACTTCATGGAGTTGTCAAAGTCTTCATGAGACAGTAACACCTTAGTCAAGATCTGAATCAGAAGCAGGTCCTAAGCTCTGCTACCCCTAGGAAGTTATTTACCTTCATCCTACAGATTACTTTTAGAGATTAAAGGTATTTTAAGTATTCAGTTATCACCAGTATCATATAAGAAAAAGCCTGGAGTAGAAATGATACTACTCAAGAGGAAGTGGCCTTTTGCTAGGTCAATAAGAATAAAGTTGTGGGAGGGATGGCTCAATTCAGACACAGAAAATTCTTAGAGAACACAGACAAAGTGCAGTGCACAGAGGTGGGACTATGATTGAAGTGGCAGATGAGGCTCCCTAAAGCTAATGACTGTGTGTGAGCTGGGCAGTGCCCACAGGGAGATCAGAGAGGACAAGACCTCTGGGAAGATATCCGGTTCCTGAGCGGGGCAGGGCCATGCTTCAGAATCAAGATGGGCAAGCATGAAATGCAAAGTGGCACCAGGGAATCTCATCTGTCAGGACTCATCTCGCTGAAGCTTGAATGTGATCGTATTTCTTAAACAATAGATCACCACCATTTAGTGGCTGTGATATCAGCTCAATGGTGTTGGAATCACACTGTGTAAGTGAAATGGGCTAGGACAGCTGGGATAGACAAAGGGAAGAGAGGAGTGAGAAGTGTCTTCTGAAATGTTTTTTCAATGTGTGTGTGTGTTTCCAAAACCATGGGATTGCCATGGAAATAAAGGCTCCTTCTGCCATAGGTTGTTATCTTTGAAGCATGCTGAGAGGTAATTTTATCTTGGCACAGTCTGTGTGCCTATAATCCTAGCTCCCTGGCAGGCAGGGGATCCCAAGTTACAGCTCGGCCTATGCAACTTTGTGTATCGCTGTCTCCAAATATCAAACCAAAAAGGGCTGGGTGTGCAGCTTGGTTTGAAAACTCTGGGTTTGATCTCTCTCTCTGTCTCTGTCTCTCTCTGTCTCTCTGTCTCTCTGTCTCTCTCTCTCTCTCTCTCTCTCTCTCTCTCTCTCTGTCTCTCTCTGTCTCTCTCTCTCTCTCTCTCTCTCTCTCTCTCACACACACACACACACACACACACACACACACACACACACACACATTGTCCTTTAGAATGGAGGTGTACCATGCATGGTGTGTGCTTTTCTGTCCCTCCTTTCCCTCATCAGGGTCCCCCCAGGATTTCTCACAGTCAGACAAGGTTTGATGGCAGTCTGTCAATGAATGGGTGTGGAGATGGTATGGAAAGCCTTACTGAGGCATTCATTTCCACAACATGATCAACGAGATGTCAGCTTGACTTTTACATTTCCCTGTTGAGAATTGTCACATGGTCTAAAATTTTACAAATCATTCATTCTATAACACGCTCTGAATACTGGGTTGACAAAAAAAAGGCATTTACCTGCTTTTCTGGTGTTCACAGTCTGTATGCTGGGGATTTAGCTCAGCGGCATAAGGGCCTGCCTTGCAAGCAGGCAGTTGTGGGTTTAATCACCGGTACCGATAAAAAAGGAAAAAGGCAAAAAAAAAAAAAAAAAAAAAAAAAAAGAAAGAAACCTTCCAAACTTTACATGCATTGACACATTTAACATTCACATTTACTCTGTGTGGTAAGGACTGCTATTTCCCTTCACATACACAAGAAGAAATGGGGAATCTAGACTCAGAGAGGCTGAGTAGCTTACCTTAGAACACATAGCAAGCCAGTGACAGAAACAGCTGTCTGTTGGAGTCCAGGCCCTCACTCTTAGCCGCCTTGCTGTAGCTTCTCTGTACAGGTGTAGAATCATTCCCCCCCCCCATAAAAAACAAATGTAAATTTTCAACTTCTAAAATGAGAGTATTTTATGCTGTCAGACTGTATTTCTACAGTCAGGGTAAACTTGCTGTTGAAATGTGCAGTTGATGGACAGGCCCTGTGTGGTCTGTAAGATGCTTCCCCAGATGGGTGTGTGGAATGACCGGACTGAAGCCCAAGGATATTTTCTTGAATGCCCTAAGTGTGAGACCTTTGCCCACTGTGTGTTCAGACTGATTTGCAACAAGGCAGCTGCCCTGAGAATCATTTGGTCATGAGGAAGGGACCATACACTAAACCACACTCAGGTATGGAGGCACCTGTCACAAGCAGGTGGGTGGGGCCTGCCTGGCCTGGACCCTTCCAAGTTAATGTCTCCTGTGTGTGTGGCTGCTGCTGTGGGTTGGGCTGAGTGTGCCCAGGGGAAAGTGAGGGGCAACAGTGTGAAGAGAGGGCAGAATCCACACTCCTGTTTGAGGCCTTTTCATGATAATGATGGGAATTTCTCAGTGAATTCAACTTTTAGTTGCTAACATAATTGTTCACTCGACTTTTTGTATTTCTCCTTATGTTTGCAAGATTATTGATCACTCATGAATTTCTAGGCATGAAGATTTGGGAACTTCACATAGAGTGATTTTTTTGTCATGGGACATAAAAGACAAACTTGCAAATAAGTAGGATCAACTCAAATAGGGCTAAGGGCTTTTTGTGGTGCTAGAAAGTATCTGATTTGGTGAGTTGAACCAATGACTCACTAAGGTAAGACGTCAAGGCAGAGCATGTCTGAGGCCTGCAGGACCTCTCTTTGATCTTTGCCTGGGAGGAGGGAGCATTCCTGCCTGGAACACTTCTTTCTCACTTGCTTTCCTCAGTTAGCACCGGATAATTCCAAAGAACCCTCTGCATATGAAAATGAGAAGTGTCTAATTAGGGGCATGGAGCCACTCTGCCGTGGCCGAGTCCTACAGGAGTCCAGGGGAGGTGGAAGCATAGCTCAGCCCAGGTCTGAAGGTTTCAGGACCAAGAAAGCAGCTGTGCAACTCTCAATCCAATGCCAAAAGCCTGAGAGACTTGGGTGCCCTCTAGTGTGGGTCTTGCAGCTCAAAAGTTGGAGACTAGGGCAAAAAGAAAAAGGGAGGGAGGGAAAAAAAAAAAAAAAAGGCATCTTGGATCCAAAGAGAGAGCAAGAATTCATCCTCCACTTTTTGGGTTCAATTCAGGGCGCCATTAACAAGGGTCTCTCCAGTCACGTTGAGGTGGGTCTTACTCATTCTGCCCACCAACTCACTTATCAATCTTGGAAGCAGGTCCGCAGATGAACTTGAGTATTCTCCATTCAGTCAAGCTGGTACCCATCACTTACCCTCACAAGCCCACGCTTTGTTAATGTGACACCCGCATTTATGCCAGTGAACCATGCTTGATATCCAAATAAAGACAATGATGACATCATAGTTCTGCCAGTAGCCATAGGCATCTGTCGCCTCCAGGAGATGATGCTGTGCTGTGTACCAAGTAAGGCAGGCAAGGCGGATTCCTCCAGGAGGCCTGCTTTGCTGGCCTGGGGTTCCTAAGTCTGGTCTTAAAGCTCCCACAAGGGTACTGTCCCCGAGTCTTCTTGGAGTCTTGCTGATAGGGACTGGCACTGGTCTTTTTCTTAGCACACACTACCATAGTTTTAGGAAAGCAGTCACATTCATAAATGTCCCAAACTCAAGGCAGCCTTGTGGTGGGAGAGGACGCCCTGCGCATAAAGCTCAGACCTGATCCTCCAACAGCTGCCTGCTCCACTGGGATCACCTGCGTGGGTGCTTGTTTCTTCATGGCTTTGTAAACTGTAGACTAGACCCACGTTCAATTGCAGACTGTCTACAATATCCTCATTGCTTTATGCTTAATTAATAATTTCCTTTGTAGAGACAGGGTTTCAATGTATAGTCCGAGCTTTCTCAAAACTCACTGTATAGCTCAGGTTTGCCTTGACCTTGCAATCCTCCTGCCTCAGGCTCCCAAGTGCTGGGAATGCAATCTGTGTCACCACACCCAGCAATATTTTTAGTAAGTTAGATATTGAACTCTGGGAGACTGTGGCAAGCGAATTACAAATTAAAATATAGTCTAAGAAGTGTAGCAACTTAGGAAAACTCTGCATGTCAAAATAAAATTTCAAAAAAAAATGGGATTAAAGCTCTTTGTGAAGGTTCTGAATTCGATCCCAAGAATTGATTTAAAAAAACTGAAACAGAAATTCCATATTTGTATGGTAATAAAAATGCAGAACTGATGGATACAAACCCTATTTATATATTGAGTATGTAATTATTTAAGGAATTAAATGTTCAAAGAGTTATGAACTTGCAGCATCCCCTGTGGCTGTGATGAAGAAGGAAATCCCTTCTCCTTTGCCTTTGTGGATAAAATTCAGTTAAAAAGTAAGAATATAAGACATACATATATGATATTAACTAAAGTATATCAAGTAATATTTAATACATTTGTTATACAGAATACATGTGGATTCCATAGTATATTCACACAGATCCATCTCATTGTACCTGTCAGTGGCAGCATCCACTATCTTGTGTCAACTACCTTGTGTCCACTACACTATTTCCTTTGGGCCCGTGCAGAGTTCCTCAGCCACAGTCCTGTTCTACAGGCACAGCTGTTCTGCAGCTGGAAAGGGAGTAAGGAATTTCCAGAATTTAAGCTGCTTCCTAAAGATACACAGACAGACAGACATTAACCCCGCATGCAGAGTACTCCTAAACTCACCAGGCTCCCCAGTCTCTCCTCTCCCTTTGCAGGGAGGGGACTGATTTGTTATACGGAACCAGTGCTACTTTAATTTTTTCCCTTTATAAGGTAGAATAATCACTCCCTCTTCTGTAGGGACAAAAGGTAAATATTTTCAACCACCCAAGTCTGTGAATTAGAAGCAAGGCTTATTCTAAATTTTGGAATCAGATTCTTATTGATGCAAAAATTTGGTCCATGGAGAAAAATGTGGACTCTTTAAAAAAAAAAATTATTCGTAGAAGAACCAAAACATGATTCCTGAGCTAGGGAAACTAGTACCCTTAGCAAACATACTAGTTATCCACAAAATGATCAATAGAAAGATACTTTAGGTGGTTTTTAATTCAAACATGCCAAAATATGGGTCAGGCCCTTCGTGGTGTTAGCAGGTAGAGAAGGAAGAGTAATATGTGCTCCAAAGCACTGACTGATTTAAGACTCCCAGTCCCTTAGAAGCCGGATGACATGCCCCTCTTCTACAAAGTCCCACTGCCTGTGTGTGACAGGTAACCTAACAACGCTTCCCCTGATCCTGCAGCCCGTGGGCTCTGATCCTAGCCCCCAAACCAGTTCCCAAACAGAGTCCACTACCGTGGTTATGGGGATGGGGGAGGGGACTTGAGAAGCAGAGACGTGTGGATGGACATGCAGATGGCCATGATCGTGGCCAGCATGTGCTCAGGATTTCTGAAAGTTTACCTGAGACCCCCACACTCCAACACTTGTAAAGAATGCTGGTCCCTCTCGGGTGCTCACGCTGTCCCTGTGCCACCAGGATGCAGACCCACAGCCAGCTGTCCCTGGATGTGCGGAACTCCGAGTACCTCGCCAGCATGCCTCCGCTGCCTGCTGAGTGCCTGGACATCGATGGTGATGGGAACACCCTGCCAGTCATCTTTGAGGACAGATATGTGGACTGCCCAGTGACAGGTCTGCCCCCTTTAGTTGTTTTGGAAAGTTTGGATAAATGAGGCCTTTTGAGTTGTTTGGTGGCCTATGACTGTAGTACCCGCACTCTGGAGGCTGAGGCAGGAGAATTCATGTGTTCAGCTTGAACTATTTAGTGAAATTTTGTCTCAAAAACAAACCAAAGAAACAAAAAATACCTTCCAGAGGAAGAGACTTGGAATTCACTATGTTTATATCCTTAACAGACATGGAACCAAATTAACAGTGTCTCACCCAATCACAGAGGTGATAATTAACCTTAAGATCAAGGTTAAACTCACTGCTTTTTAAAAAAAGACTATTTTTCAGTGATACTGTTAAATTAATCCAAAACTTTGTGCAATTACTGTGAAAACTGCAACTTGGTCCCTTCAGAGTAGAGATACCCAGTGCCTCCATACTGTCCAGGTCATACATGATGACTTGGGAGTTGATAAAGACCTCATCAAGTGCAGCTTATCAGAAGGTCATGCCTGTTTGAACTTTAATGGCATTGGGTACAGTTCTCAGGAAGTTCTTTTCTGATGCTTGAAAATCCTGAGGTAAGTGGGCTGCAGAACTGCCCATTGGTGGATGACTTATTCTGGGGAGAAAGGAAACCATGTGCATGTGCTCTTCATGTGCATGTGTCCAGCAGGGCTGGCACAGGTGACAAATGTCTATTCTCTGCCTTCTCCTGCGGCCCTGATCGCAGAAGTCCCACAAGGACCAGAATATGCCAGGCTCCACATTGGGGGTATAAGGGCTTTATCTCATTAGTTCTGTATAAAACCTCACTGTGTGTCTGTACTGCACAGAGAGAACCTGAGGGCTAGGACTGTGTGTTCCTGAAAGGTGATGTGACAGTAAGCTGACGTTTGAAGCAGCTCCGTGACTCTGACGCTCATGTTCTTTCTTGCTCTATCTCCACATGGGCTCTCATTCCAATGAAACACCCGAATGGCTAAATTTTAGAGGTCCTGAGTGGGGGCCTTGAGTGATGCCAAGAAATCTCAGTGACTTCCAAGGACAGTGCATCCTTCAAACCATGAATTTGCTTCTCAGTTATACTCTGCCATCTGGTGTCAGCCAGATGTATGACAGCTAAACTGTGTGCAGTTCAGAATCAGCCTCCAACCTAGCTGATCAAAACAGGGTATTAAAGCTTTTCCTTAGATGCAGGGTGAACATGTATGTGTGTGTGTGTGTGTGTGTGTGTGTGTGTGTGTGTGTGTGTGTCTGTGTCTGTGTACACACATGCATGCATGCATGTGGGCTTGTGTATACACGTATACACATTTGTTTATGCATGTGTATGAATAAATGTTCATTTCTCTTATATGTATGTACTTTACAGAACATTTGAACAGTTAGAGAAACTAACTGAACATTCAGTATCATCATTAGATTTGGTCATGATTATGTTTTTCCTCTAGTTAATAACAGATATTTGAGTGAATATAAATCTCCAACCCTCGGTTCTTAGGTGCAATTGTATTGCATACTTGATTTTTTATCAGTCAGCTTTTTCTCTGAGCTTCCAGCCTGCAGAACTCACTGGCAAGTCCGTGTTGATCTTTCTGGGCTTTCTCTGTTCAGCTGTTCCCCCTTTCTTTCTCATGTCAGTGTGAATCAGCAGCAAGATGTGACTAGGGTGGCCGCAGCAGGGGCCAGTCACAGACATTACTCTTGCAGGGATCAAACTTGTGACCTCATGCTTGCCAGGCAGGCGGTTATGCTGCTGAGCTAAATCCTCATCCCTAGCAAGTAGTATCCCTGGGTGGATGTGAAAACCCTTGAAGTCTTTTAGGACCAGCATCTCTGGGTAGTGTGTGAAGTGAATGGGGCCGGAATAATAGCACTCACCTCATTTTATAGAAGAACCCCAGGCAAAGATAGTCAGAGGCCTGGCCATCTCCTTGGACTTTTCTCCATACCTCTCCACCCACCTGGTTCCATCTTGTCTCGCAAACTGCTTTAACAGTATCATCTGTGTCTCCCCTCCACCATCACCTTCCTTTGCAAGATGCTTGGAAGTTTCATTCATCCTAAATCAAAAACTTTAACAATGAAGAAATGTTTCCTCTTTCCCCAAGACCTTGGCCTTAATAGTCATACCTTGCTATGAAGCTGTAAGCCATGCAGTGCTTACACTCTGCCCTTGCAGTGTGTATCACCACAGGAATACGTGTTGAGTAATTCTGTTCATGGGCTACTGAGGAGCATGGCTTGAACTCCTGCTGAGCACCACCTGCTCAGCAAACTCTGCTTTCATCATCTGTAATTGCCTTCCCCACGTTGACATGGCCTGACCTTGACATGGCCTGTCCATGGCAATTGAATAGTTGCCAAAAGTCTCAAGAGGTACACATGTTCTCTAGATTTGAGTTCTTTTTTCTCAAATATGTGTAATGATATAAAGTTCAACAAAAGGAGCAGCAATGTTCCCTTCCCAGTGTAAATGTGACTATCTTAGTTACTTGTTATTTTCTGGGACAAAATGCCAAGCACCCACAAGTTAAAGGAATAAAGGTTTATTTTGGTTCACAGTTTGTAGAGGTTTCAATCCATAATCGGTAGGCTTTAAGGTGGCAATGTGGCAGAGGGGCATCACACATGAAAATAGTTAAGAGCATGGTAGGCGGAAAGCCGCAAGGAGCAGCAGTGAAGCAAACCTCCCTTTCCCTTTTATTCCACCCAAGCTTCAAGCCTTTTGGCGGTGCCACCCACACCCAGGTTGAGCCTTCCCATCATTCATGCCCAGAAATATGCTAACCAATCAGTGGACTAATTTGGTGTTACACATCCTTAATCCCACTGTCACACACTGTAGATCTACCCAGCTCTTAAAAGCCTTGCCTGTAAGTTTTTGAGGCTGTGGGGGAGATATCTAGATACAAGCTATCTAGTGAACAGTGACCAGATCCATCCACAGGCAATGAAAAGCCAGGTGGCATGGAGAAATGAAGGCTAATACGTGACTGTACCATTTCATGCCATGGTATCCGACTTTGGATCTTTAAATTGGACTTTTGATCCTGAGGTCTTCTCTTAACTGTAATAGTGAAGGGAAGTTGCTGTTACTTTGCTACTGCATCTTCTTGCATTTTATCTTAATTGTCTGTGATTTTATCTTAGTTGCCTATTCCAAGTATCCACGTCCTGTCTCCACAAACATAAAGCCCATTCTCCCTACCTACCTGTGCTCTGCCTGTCAGTCCACGTTACAGGGACTCTCTGCCTCTCCAAGCCATCACTCTGCTGCACACACTCAGGAGCTCACTCACACCTGCTCAGACTGTGCCCCCCCCCCAGAGCACCTTTGTGTAGCTCATTCTCTCTTTCGAAGAAATGAGCTCATGTAGATGCTGCCACATTCTTTAGTGCTTGTTTTCTTTTCCTTTTCAAAAAGAATTGGTTTTATAGAAGTTTCAGCTTCTCAGCAAGGAAATTATAAAGAGAGAGGCATCAAAATGCCTCACATACTTCCTGACCCATCCTATAATCCCCCCAACACATATTATCCACAACCCTCCCCAAGAATGGCCATTTCTTACACTTAGTAGGTCATTATCAACCAAAATCCACTTTAAATTAGAACCACTCTTGGCCATTTCTGTGCATTTGGACAAGTGTGCAGTGCCATACACACAGCGTCACAATGTCTTACAGAGCAGTTTCTCTGCACAAAGTTCTCTGTCCTCCGCATACCATCCTTTATTGTCCTCTGAACTCAGGCAAACCCACTGCTTTATCATCACCATAGTTTTATTGCCATCTACTTAATTTTGGCAGATGAACTCACTGTGCTTTTGTATGCTTTCCAGTATTTTGAAAATCTGATCAACGTAGAGACTGATCTGCTCTGAAAAGGATGCCCATTTTCACTGTCTGTTCTTTGTTCTGTTAGATTCCCGTTCTAGTCTCAGTTCATTTTATGAACACAATTTACAAATTTGTACTAACCATGGTGCCAACCTTGGAGCTGAGAAGTCATAAAACACAGACTCTTCCCTCTAGTGAAGGTATAAGACAAACAAACAGGTTATCATGGGGCAGGAAGAGTGGAGGAATTTCCATAGAAAATGTCAGCTTCCCTGTATGATGTGGGTAGGTCTCAGAGGAAGGACAGTGCTCACAGCCCCTCCAGCTGCAGAGAGTGCATCCAGGTGGGGAAGCAGTTCATGTTTTCCATCACCCCATCAAGAACTTCTCTAGGGTTATGAGATGATAATGTTTAAGAATTTCTAATGGTATAGCAAGAGTTTACTTCATGGTAACATTCCAAAGAGATTATATTCAGTTAGCCTCTGCTAAAACCAGAGTTAGGATAAACTTCACATCAGCAGGCACCGTTCCTGTAACACTGACTTCATGTCAGACACCTGACTCAAGTTAAGCCTCTCCAGGGCTCTCACACCTCTGGCCAATGGACTACAGATTCTCATTTCCCATATACGGTCAGATCTAACAATTTGGTAGAATGACACAAAACTGAGGAAGGGATTGCACTTACATTTACATTCTTATAAAAGAATGTAAAGAATACAAATAAGAAATAGGGAGAGAGGGAGCGGGAGATGGAAGAGGAGAGAAGAGAAGAAGAGAAGAAAGAGGAGGGAGAAAAAAGGAGAAAGAAAAGGAGAAGGGAGAGAAGAAGAGGGAGGGATAGGAGGAAGAGGCAAGGAAACAAGAAAGACAAGGAAAAGGTAGATGAGGGAAAAGAAAAGAGAGAAAGAATATCCATAGGCCAATGTCTGGGAGGCCCCAGGTAGGAAGTTCCTCTGTTCTCAGGCATTGTCAGCCTCCTGGAATGTCAGCCTGTATTGTCAGCCAGAAGAACTCACCTGAACTGGGGAATTTAAGGTAGTTGTGGTTTCAGTGTATGGCAAGATTGATTCAGCCACATGACCGAACTCAGTCTCCTCCCAGGGATCAGGCTGATACTGCTTTGCTACCTGTTCTCAAACTCTAATCAAAGGTTTGGTCTTTCTGCCTGGGCCAAACTCCTCTTATTTGTGCATACTTTATGAATTCAGCATAGGTCAGCTCATTAGCATAAAAATTGGGGTTCACATGAATAATGAGGACATTTCTATCATTTGGGAAAGTCCAAGACACAGAAAAGTAGTTCCCATTGAAAAGATGGCCAAATTCTTTTTCCTGCACAATTATGTATTTCTATAAATTGTGAGCATACACAGAGGTACGTTGGTTCATGGATGCTTTTATTAGCAAGCAATTTGGTTTGCAAACAAAGGCAATAGGCAAAATTTTGTTTTAGTTTTTGTTTGCAAGCTCTACATTGGATGACAATGAAAACATTGTGCCACAATGACGTATGTGCACTTGTGTTTATAACAGCACAACTTGTTATAGCTAAATCTTAGAAACTACCCACATGCCCACCAACTGTGAAATGGATAAAAAAAGATGTGGTATTTCTATACAGTGGAATATTACTCAGTCATAAGGAATGATAAACTTGAGGCTTTTATAGGTAAATGGATGTAACTTAAGACCAGACTCATAAGTGAAATAAATCAACACTCATGTGTTAATATCATATTGTCTACCTGGGGTAAAAAAAAATAGAAAGAGTAATAAAATCCAAAATGTACAAAGATATTGTGAAAATGAAAGGGGAAGAATGTGCTCAAAACTGGGATAAGGGTAAAGAGAAAAGGAAGGAAGGAAAAGCTTATATATATATGTATATATATATATATATATATATATATATATATATACATATATATATGTGTGTGTGTGTGTGTGTGTGTGTGTGTGTGTATACAAGATAGATAACTATACTACAAATCTCTGTAAGTTCACCAAAAACAACAGTTTATGCTTTCATTGTTTGATTGTTTGATCATTTTTTTCGGCCTAAATCTTGTAACCTGAACAACTATTTCTAAGATAACAACATGCAATATATTAACTGCTGTTAATTTCCTCCTTTTTTTGCAGTTCTGTATTATTTCCATCATTTTTGTTTTGTTTTTTAGAATAAAAAGATACATTGAATGACAAACACGACTTCAGCCATCTTTCCAGCACAAACACAAATACGGCCATCTTTTCCAAAATCGTGGAGCAAATTAAGTTCTTGAACCATGGTACCACTCTATTTGTAAAGCATAATCTGTGTTTCCAAGTTTTCATTTTTCTTTCTTTCGTTCTCCTCTCTCCTGCTTTTTTTGCAGGACACAATTTGAGCGTTTATCCTAAGTTTGATGATTCAGCAACGATCCCTACCATAATGAACCTAAAAGAGAAAGAAGAGAGCCATATTGTAAGTAGAGCATCATCTCTCAACAAAGGTCTTGTCTTGTCCACATCGAAACCAACCCAAATGGACTCTGATAAAGAAGTTAGTAGGTGTCCAGAACCAGGCGAGAATGTGACCACACAAAATCAGGTAGACATATGCTTCGAGTCTGAGGTCTATCTGACAATTGGTGAATTTCAGAATAAAGCAGGAGTGCCTGAAGAAGAATGCTGGACTGGGCAGAGGTCTGATGTGGGAGCATTTCCACTGGCAGAAGTGGACATGCCTAGAAAGAGTCTAGGTCCAAATGATGGGCAAACCCCAGTGCTAACCTACATTGATGTGAAATCTAGCAATAAGAACCCACCCAGACCTGAACTTACAGAGCTCTTTAGTACTCACCAGGAAGGACGCAATTCTAGAGACAAATATGGTTTTGGAAATCAACAGGATGCCAGCTCTACGGACAAAACAGCCTTCCCTGAGCTCAGCACTCCAGGAAAGGGGACAGACCAAGAAGGTAAACTAGGATCACTGAATCTGAGGCTAACACCTTCTAAGCCTTGTGACCTCCTTAGCTACACTTTGAGAGCATCCTTGGATATCAAATCTTCCCTTCAGGACTCTCACACAGATGAGCAGGAAGAGATATCAGTACTTTCTGGGGTCATCAAGCGCTCTTCCTCCATCATATCTGACTCAGGCATTGAGAGTGAACCAAGCTCAGTGGCTTGGTCAGAAGCTCGAAGCAGGGCCTTAGAGTTACCCAGTGACCGGGAAGTCTTGCACCAGCTGGCTCAGAGGTATGTCCTGCACAGGAACTCATTAGAAGGAGGACACACAGAGAGTAACACAAGTCTGCCCAGTGGCATCCAGGCTTCTCTCACCTCCATCAGCTCTTTGCCTTTTGAAGAGGAAGAGCGAGAGCTGGCAGTCACGAAGCTAACCAAGTCTGCATCTGCACCTCAGATCAGCAGCCCAGAGGGGGCTGCTGAGAGTGCAGGCACCATGCAGACACAGGGAGCCTCTGCTGAAGCTTCAGATACACACAGCAAGAGCAAAGTTTCCCCTACACACAACTCTCCACCTTGCAATGGCTTCAGAACCAAGGATGAGGGGGAAGGTCTTTCCCTGGGAGGAATAGATTCAGATGCTGAGAAACAGCAGGGTCCTGGTTACATGGACATCCCCAAAGGGAAAGAGTCTTGGTTTTCTGCTCAAGGAAACTGTCCTCTAGATAGCAGAACTGAGAGCACTTCCGGTGTTGAAACCAAAGGTGGTGACTTAAATATACCACGTACCATTACCCTTGAAAATGCAAGGACCAAGCCTTTCCATAGAGGACAAATGGAAGCCCCAAAAGGCAAACCTAAAGACTTGAATGTTGGCAAACACAATGTGTCCAACAGCAGTGTAACAGAGCTTGTAGAGCTGTCTCACCATAAGGTGCCTGAATTCAGCTGTCCATCAGCTGCCAGTGCTAACCCCCAGAATTCTGCAGGCCAGCAAAGCAGCTTGCCTTGCCTCATTGATGACACCACCTTGAACAGAGCACCCAATACCTCTGTGGAGGTTGAACATGAAGCTGGCACTGTGTGCCCCACTGTGACTCATGCCATTCCTTCTCATGTTTTGAGGAGCCCGGAGCCAAAGGCAGGCACTTCCATCATGGGCTCCCACCTGAACCCCGCAGAAACCTTTACTTTGGACAGCCTGAAGGCTGTGGAGGTCGTCAACTTATCCCTGTCTTGCACTGCCACATGCCTCCCTTTCTCCTCTGTGCCCAAGGAGAACCCTGCCAGGGCTGGATTCTCGTCCAAACAGACGCCTGTTCCTATCACCCATCAACCTCTGGGTTCCTTTGGAGTTGTTTCTACCCATTCTAGCAAGTTGGAGGAAGAAGTCAGTGAACGGATGTTCAGGTAAGCTTGGTGATGGCTCGGTTTTTCCAGAACAGTCGTTTAGGACACTCCACAGATTTCTCAACTGCACGCATTTGTTTAAAAATTAATGCTTTGTTATTTTATGATGTAATTGAATCTGTGTATCATATAAGTAATATGCATATCATTATAATAAGCACATCATAGAAACCAGAAATGTGGAATAGCATGAGGAAATAAAAATTATCAGCAAACAGATCTCTTACTATAACTGCTTCCACAATGCAAGAGCCACATAGAAGTCTGAAGAACCACAAACTTTGGGTTTGGGTTTTGGTGTGGGTGTCCTTTCCTGCCTTCATGTGCAGAACAAAGTGTCACTCACTAAATTCTTCACCAAGGTCACATGTTCAGTGTTGGCACTCAGCAAATGCTGGCTTGTAGAAGCTTATCATTCTACATCCCAGCCCAACTCATTTCCTACTCAATGCAGCACACAACTTGGCTTGTGATTAATTAGCATATTCTCCAGTTTTTATCAGGCCAAAGAAAAATTTAAAAAAGACTTGAAGATTGAAGGATATCTGTACAGTGACTTGTCTGTGCTGGCTTCTGATACACCATATTTCCCACCAGAGGAGGAGGAAGAGAATTTGGAAGATGGAATTCACCTGGTAGTTTGTGTCCATGGCCTTGATGGTGGGTTCTAAGTTTCCTTCTCAAAATTATGTGCTAAACAAAATGTATGGTATCCATAAATTAATTTAGGTGAACCATTTATTAAAAGACAGTCCAAACAGAAACTGTAAGAGAGTTACTGTGATAAATCTAGAGGAATGGTATGCTCCATAAGAAAATATATCTGTGACACAAAAACATTGTTGAGAAAATGAAATACACAAATGCATGCATGTGGTGAAGATATGAATTGAATAAATCAGTAGAGGATTGAAACAAATGAAGAAGTGGAATAATTAATGCAATGAATGTTTAAAATAAAAAGAAATGGATTGGACAAATAAAGCGAATGTCTTCCTGGAATGAATATATTGATGAAATGCATAAATAATTAGAATGCAAAAATTAATGAATTTGTGAGTCACTAAAATAGTATGTATAGAGGAAGAAATAGAGGAGTGAAATAAATGGATGCAGTTAACGGAGCTCAGGTTAGTGACTGGAAACTATTTCCTTGTCTATGGTTAATCACCTCTCCTTTATGGGGCACCTTTTGCTATGCCAGAAACTACGACTAAATTGTGGGATTTGCGGGAACAAAGAATAGCCTTTTACCCATCAGCTCAAGTGCTGCCTCTCACTTAAGTCATATTAAATTACAAGGAGGCCAGACTCTGAATTGCTTTTTTAGAATAAGAAAGCTGGTCAGGCAATTGACTTTGATTTTTTCCACCTTGCACATGGGAGCAGAAGGGTGTTATAAAAAGCAGCTTCCCAGCAATGCGCTGAGCTACCCAGCACTTTGTGACTGGTCCAACAAATCACCTGGGAGACAACTGGTATAGTACAGACATGCCTTTTTTGAAGGTTCTTTCTCCAGTTCCAGTTGCATTGTTCTGAAGTCTTCAGAATTTTACAAGATTCATTGTTCAGATCTTACTTGCAGGGAAGTGAGCACATCGATAGCAGCTCTGAATATTCACCCAACTCATGCTGTGCAAGAAGGTGAAGATTGATAGTCTTACAAATTCTTCAATTTAGCATCTTATTAAGTGACATTTCCTGGAAATAAGTTCCAGAGAATTCTCTCTCTAGCCATATTTTTATTCCTTAGACAGTTTACATGAAAAAACAAACAAACAAAAAAACTTGGAACTTTTTTGAAGGCTATGTCTAGAATTTCATTAGGGTACTTCAAAAACAAAACCAGTGAGATGAAAACAATGTAATTTTAGAAATGACTAAAGAAATTAGTAAAATTTAGCATAAAATATAAAGTACACATATTTCATTAAAAATCATGAAGGTTTTATGATTATAACTCTATAGGGTTGTGCATTGTGCTGTGATAGTCCACTGACATGGATGGCCTCTGAGCACACTAGCATAGCCTCAAAGATGAGGGACATCCATAGACCTTGAGTTCTTTCAATTCAGTGTGGTTCTTTTACCTTCCTTTGAGTCATAGAGAAATTTCATAAAGAATTATACAAAATTAGTTATAATTTCACCAATACTCCAGAAATTTTTTAAGCCTATAACCTTCAAGTTTAACCCTGTAATGAAGCAGCTATGCTCAATATTCAGACAATAGTTTTTGACTTTCAACTCAACTGGGATCCATTTGAGGAAGAGGACAATGCATGTATGCATTAAGATACCATTTAACCTCTCTGAACTGCATGAAATTTATTCCAAAAAAACCTTCCTACATGGCATCAGATCCATTTTTTTCACAGGACTTTTACCTCAGAGTGCATTCTCTGTGTTCTTATGCCTCTGCTGTTAGCCGCTGTCCTGGATTTTTAACCTCTCACTGCTCTGCCTAGTTGGGTGACTCAGAATACATGCAGCTTGCTCTTCCAGGACTCACGTCCCAGGAGAGGGTCTTACTCCTTTAGATAGCTGAACTGTGATTGCTCTCTTCCAGGAATTTAACAACTGCCTGCCAGGGGCAGAACTAGATCCTCCTTGTATTAATTTAAGAGAGGGCATACTGCTACCCCACTGGAGTAAATCAGCCATTAGGTGGCACCCCTGACATGTGAAGTCCTGGGCAAATAGAATTTGCTGTGGAAGGAGGACAGGTGGTGTGGTCCAGCTGATGCTGCATAGGGCATATTTCTGAGTCACATATCAGTAAGCCAGGGCACAGTTTCATTGAGGCAAGACAACTTGAAAGGACTCACTTCTGTGTACGCGTGTGTGAGAGACAGGGCAAGCAGGGCCTGGAACTGTTTTTTTCTGTTTTTATTGTCTGCTTAAAAACTAGTGGGAAAAAAGTCAATGGAAATTGGAGAAGAGGGAGATGAGACAGAAATCCCTCTTGTTACCTTTTCCTTGATTAACTGTGGGGCTGGGGTGGGGGTTATCTGTCTTTCAGGAAATAGTGCGGACCTTCGGCTGGTAAAGACCTTCATAGAACTGGGGCTCCCTGGTGGAAAACTAGACTTCCTAATGTCTGAAAAGAATCAGGTATGCCAAAGCCAAAGCCAAAAACAAAACAAAACAAAAAAAAAAAAAACAAAAAAAACAAACAAACAAACAAAAAAAACCCCATCAAGCTTGAATGAAAATAGGAAGGGAGCTTCCCTGAGAGCACCACAATGACTTCTGGACACAGGGAGATAAGAGGGGATCTTGTAGGACAATACTACCAAGTATCTGGAAAATATGGAGAACAAACATACTCTTTGCCTTTCCCAGAGTGAGAAAAATAGGAAATGGGAACACAAGAACCAACTAGCTGGGACACGTTAAACTGACAATTAGGGTGATCTTTGAAACAACAATTATTTGAGGATCTGTGGATACACACTGAGGGCAGGGCATGTCACTTGTGTCTATGTAATCAACGCAACAGGATGATGACCTCTTCATAGTCAGGGGTAGCCATAGAAACCTCTGCCTTCAAAGGTAGGTGCAGCCTGGGCCGTAGTCAGCTGCCAAGATCAGCAAGACTTTAGTAACTTAGAGGTGCTGTTGTAGATTTTCACTCTCATTGAACTCCAGACAGATGAATCTTGGGTCTCATTTGAAAGAAAAGAACTGACTATCAGCAAAGGATCTCTTTTGACAATTGGGAATGGCAGTTGTACAGAGAGTTATGGACTCTGGAAAGTGATGTCTCTCCTTCAACTGTCAGTACTCATTTGTGTTGCCTGCTCTTTGACATCTCCTGCACTGAAGGGGCACCAAGAAGTGTAATATCAAGAAGAGTAAGGGGAATTTTTACATGAGCCCTACTCTGTGCAAGACATTCTATTCCTGTCTCTTCATTTCATATTCAGAACTATTCTGTTACTTGATGCCCCTGTCACTTTAAAGAAGAAAGAGCAGGGAAATTCTGGAATTCATGCAGGGATCCATTATCAGTCTGATCTGGAGATGAAGCAAGAAGGATCCAGTCCTAAGGGAAGTTCCAAGGGACTTCATAGGAAAGATCAAGGAGTTGAGTGACCGGTGTTTGCTGAATTTTTTCTTGATTTCTTTGAGGGAATGTCTTTTTTTTTGAGAAGATAAGTACAGCTAGTTAGAGGGGCCTGGTCAGGTAATAACCTTCCTCTGTATCCATTAGGCTATTCTGATTGCTGCCTCCTAAAAACTAGGTTCAGCTTGGATTCCAAAGAAAGTTTAGAATTCCTAAGAAAGCTGGATCCCTGTTATAAGGCCCTTAACTGCAAGGCTTGGCCACTCAGTACTGGTTATATTTGTTCCATGCATTGTGTTGAAAATCTCATAAGCAGGTTCATTTGTAACATTTCTTTTAAATACTTGCTTGAGGAATTCCTCATTTTGTTTCTCATCACAGTCAACTCAGGCTCCATAATTACAATCCTTAGTCAAATAATACTTCAATTAATAGTTTACCAATGAGGAAATGGGCCCTGAACGGCAGGGTATTAGTTTTCGCAGCATGTGTCTTAGGAAGGTTATGCATATTTTAATCAGTTAATGAGTAGGTTGCAGTCTCCGTTTAAGTAAGATGTTAGTTCAGACTGGGGAAATCACAAATTCAATTCAAAATCCCCTGGAGAAAGGAGCTTCAAATAGAGATTTTTCTGTCCCATGGAGTCTATGGGACCTACGGGTGTCTGTATCCCTTCTGCTCCTTGATGTTCACTGAATAGTGTGCAACAGGAACCTAAAGAGCTTCTCCTTTCTACCACATTTTTCTAAATGTGCTCTTTTTTGACACTCTGATGAATATGCATGAGATCTCTTGTTCATGTTTCTTAATGCTTAGCATAGGTATAGGCAGTCTGGAAGATTGCTATTCAGCTCCAAGTATAAGAGAAATTTTATTTGTAAATATTAACCCTAAATCTAATTACTTGTGCTTTCATCCATGTTTTCAAATACTGGTCCTTAAAGTTACTCTGTTTGTCTTACCCATGCCCACCTTCCAAGTAATCAAAGACTTGTGCAGTATTTCTCTTCTTCCTTTAATGCTGCTGCATCCTTCTGATCACCCTTCCTAAGTCATGATGATTTTATCATCTTCCCCAAAGCTGATTTCTGCCTTATGAACCTAACCTTGTACCACAGCCTAAAGGTTGAGCAGGCTAAAAACAGGGGATTTGGAGTTAAGCTTGTCTGCTGTAAATGCCAGTGTGTGTGACATAAGTCACCTCACATCTCAGAGCCTATTTCCTCCTCTATGAAGTGAGTACAGCAGAACCAATGGGTGTGTATGGGAAGCTGGGTATGAGATGTGGTTGGTTGTAGGCACTACATGGATGAGACTCTAATGCTGCTCTTCTTCCTCACCCTCCAAGAAGAAGGCTCTTAACTGAATCATATTTCATTATTTAAGCACCAACCTGTGAACCTTTTGCCCCGAGGCCAAATCTCAGGCTGTCATGCCAACATTAGGCTTAGGTTTCTATCAGAATGTTCCATGATGATCAGAAGAATCTGATAGCTTGCGAACAAAGTGTGTCTTAGGGTGTAGCCTCTCCCAACACCCTTTTCCTCTTTTCTTTCAGATGGACACATTTGCAGATTTTGATACCATGACGGATCGGTTATTAGATGAAATCATTCAACACATTCAGTTGTACAACCTCTCCATATCTCGCATTAGGTAAAAGGAAACCACAGGTAGTTAATGCAGAGGGAGAGGGGTAACATTTTTTGAGGGTTTGTTGTATACATGTTTGAAATAATGCCTTCCGTTAACCACTGGGCAATTAAACTTGTGACTTTCAATGTGGTTTATTACTTTTAGGTAGAAGTGAGTACCAGGGATGGTTGACACAACCATCTGGTCATAACATGAGTGGAGGGAATAAACATTTTGTTGCTCTATAGAAAAAGCATTGTAATTAAAACAAAAATTACTAGGTTTAAATCCCTGTTCCATTACAATTTTAAACCCTGACTATAGCATGTACGATGTTAGAAACTTTCTTTCTGATCCTGTATTTGCTTATCTTTAAATAGAATGAATACTAAAGAATATGTCCAATGAAAGCGCTTTAATTGGCACTAAGTATACCCTCACTCTGTAGTAAAAATCCTGGTTTACCTGTGTAAGTACCTAAGACCATAGGACATAGGTTGCATTCGAGCATACAGTTATAAGGCTAAGTGTTCGATGTGCATTATGGTATGCAGTCCTCCCAAATAGCATATCAGTTTATTTCCCTACTGAAGATTTTTAAATTGACCAAGAAATGTACCTATAAAAGTTTGGTAAAAATGAAAGGACACAAGCTAGACCACGCAATTTCATAAACTAACACACATTGCTTTTCTTTGTTGGTTTTATTCCTATCATGAGAATGGGTGCAAGGTTATGCTTCTCATATAATATGGTTTAAATAAATAGTAGTTAATTGAAAAGTGGGAGTGTACTGAGTCCATGTTTCTGTGAGTAGCAGCCTGACTTCTGCAGAGGATGTGTTGTGGGTGTCAAACACCGTGGAAACAGTGAATGGGGAGCTCAGTAAACACGTAGGGTAAGGAGAAAGTGAGCATAATGGGAAAGAGTCAGAGGTCAGGCTCCGAATGGCCTCATAGGCCAGACTGAGAAACTGAAATGTAAACTGTAAATGGCCAGGAATGGTTACTCCTGAGCTGTATGTTTTGCAGAGAATCCTCAGGACAGTCAGGTGGCTTGAGAGGAGGCAGGTGTGGGGACGGGTGAAGAGGAGAGGATGTTCTGATAATACAGAACTGGACAAAACACCCATGCTTCAATCATGGGCACAGGTGGCATTCACAAGGGCCCCGTTTTCTGAATGTGGCCAGGTTTTGGAGAGCAGAGGAAGAAGAACTGGTAGTATTTGTTGTGTTTGCCAGCTCCCTGAAAGCAGCGGGCTCCGGCAGCCAGCCTTAACTCTTGCCCTCATGCGCACTCTCTCTGTCTCCGATAGCTTCATTGGCCATTCTCTGGGCAACATTATCATCCGGTCTGTCCTCACAAGGCCCCGGTTCCGGTATTACCTCAACAAACTCCACACGTTCCTGTCACTGTCTGGGCCTCACTTGGGCACACTGTACAACAACAGCACCCTCGTTAGTACAGGTGAGATTCCCCACCCCCGCCTCCAACTTAACATGGATATCAAGGGTGGGGATCTGGAGGCAGGAGTTCCTCTCCATGGAAATCCGTGGCCTTGGAACCGCTTCCAAGCATGGTGTGGGGGGGAGAGCCCTGAGCTGAGAAGTATGGCCCTCGCATTTGGAACTGAGTGAAGTTAGAAAGATATTTTCCAAGGTGGTATCTATTTTAAAACTTTTGTGAAGAAAAGCAAGTGATAGGCCTGGGGTTAAGATTAGGAGAGGTTAACCAACATTTAAGAAAGGTCAAAGGACACTTAAGTAGGATAGCTCCTACTTAGTTAATTTATTGTAAAGAGCATGCGTAAGTACATGAGATATGATCACAAAGTGTGGTGAACAGCATGGATGGGAACACACCACCTTCACGTGAATTGCTGTTAATGTTCTGAGTCCCATTCCATGCTTTGATGCAGCTGTGACAGAGGAACTGAAAGATTCTTATGAAAGAAAATGTCTAGAACTACTGCAGAAAGTATCAAGAATGATGAGTTAAGTATGTTTGAAGCTAGGTGTAGTCTGAGGGGGGTTAATAGCAGTGTCTTTTAATATAATACAGTTCATAAAGATATTTTCAGTAGGGCTGGGGATTTAGCTCAGCAGCACAAGTCAAGTGCCTGCTTGGCAAGCACAAAGTCATGAGTTCAATCCCTGGTAGAAAAAAAAAAAAAAAAATATATATATATATATACACACACAATATCATATTTTGTGATCACAGTTTGTATATTTTAAATACTCTGTTTATGTCATATATACCTATATGTTTGTACATAGGTATCTTAGTATAAATATGTATATAATATGGGTGTGTATATACTCATCCCTAAGAATCTTCACACATTAGGTCTGGAACCCTCCATATACAGAAACAGGAGTGAATGCTCAAGTCTCTTACATGAAATAGCATATTTTCATATGACCTATACTCATCATTCTATGTAATTGAGTCATCTCTAGGCTACTTGTAATCCTTATTACAATGTGAATGTTATACAAATCATTGTTTTACTGTATTGTTAAGGGGGAACTATGACAAGAAAAAATAGTCCATCATTACAGCTACAGATTAACATATTTTGTTACCATTGGTTCCATTTGAAGATGTATTAACTATACTTACAGAAGGCTGACTCTGTGTATTTGTGTGCACGTGTGTGTCCATGTGCACATGTGTGTAACTGAATTATTATTAAAGAGAAGGAATAAGAAAGAAATTAACTGTCATGGTCAAATATGGGTGAATACTGTGCTCCTAGCTTTGCCTCAGCTTTAAGCCAATTTCATCTGTGCTCTAACGGAAAGAGATAATAATAGCCAGGAACCAAAGGTTCATGATATTTTAGTAGGAGTGAGTAAATAGCAGGAAGAGCCTTCTATGTGGAGGTAGTGATGTAGGGAGCAAAACAGGAGTATAGTGTGATCTGCACACTGCAGGCTGATTATACTGAGTCATTTCTAAACTATCTGTAATCTGTTTGCAACAGAAATACATCATGCTCAGGAGGGGTAGAAGATGGTAGATGAAGGGCACAGCAAGAGCCAGATGAGAGATCTAGCAGTAGTCTTTCCCATGGCTGTTTGCAATGTGATTTTAACTGAGGAAGTGACATGGTTTGGGCTTTGGAAGCCCATATAGTTCATTGGGTCTTACTGAATAGTAAACGGTGTATTAAAATATGTTCCTATTTTTTTTTAAATTTTGAAAACAAAACAAAAAGGATAAAAATGATACAGAATTGCAAAAACTAGCAGGAAATTAACACTATTTTATACATTGCATATTGTTATCTTAGAAGTAGTTGTTCACAATATAGGATTTAGGCATAAAAATGATCAAACTATCATAAATGAAAGCACAAAGTGTTCCTTTTGATAAGCTTGCAGAGATTCTCAGCATAGATATCTACCTTGTATATATAACCACACACGTATATGTATATATCTATATACATACAATACTTCCGTTTTTCCTTCTCTCCTTTCCCCTATCCCAGTTGTCCTTTCCTTTTGAGCACTCTCTTCCTCTTTTATTTTCACAGTATCTATTGCACATTTTATATCTTATTACTTTTTCAGTTTCTTTTTTCTTAAAACATCTCCAGTTGTCCAAATTCATTATGTGACACTAGAGACAGCTCTAACGGGCTGTCTTCTCTCTGCCAATCTTTCAGTCACCTGCCATGCTGCTCTGAATGGTGTGTACACTGAGGTGGGCTCTCAAGACCCAGGCGGGTACATTTTTACATAGAAGTTATTTTAAGGACATTATTTGTTAATACAATTTATTTGATGCTGTGGTACCTAACAAATACAAATATTTTCCTCCATTAGTCTGACTTTCCTCAAAGACTCAAGAAGCCAACTTTAGGCAAAAACATGAGAATTAAATTACTGTCTCCCACAATTATAACCTTGAAACATTACAAAAAGCCAAAACAGGAGATGTTACCCATGGTTTCTCCATTTAGATAGCCCATTCCACTTAACTCTGCACACATATTTACATGCCACTCATATATATCCTGAATTTTACTTACTCCTTCATTTTTTAAAGCAAATTCACTTGTTTTATAATGTGATGGTACTCACTGTTATCTGTGTTATTATCTGCATGAGCAGAGCTGAATGGGTTGGCTCTAAAGTGTTTATCTTAGTTTTCTGATATTCTAAATGGACCTCCAAGGAATATTCTTATATACTTTCAAGCAAGCTCAGACTTGCTTTTCACTTTCTTTCAGGAGACTGAATGAATCAAAAAATATTTATTGTTTGGAGATTTGAAATCCATGGCCATCATTTTGCAGGGTGATATTATGACTCTCAATACATGAGAGTACAAACTTTTCTCTAACTTCCCAGCTCAAAATGCTTAAAATGCACTCTTAATTTAACTAAAAATTCTCCTTTGTTTTAGCTTGGGTATACATTTTTCACTTGTGTTTGTTTTACCTCTGTAGGCTTGTGGCTCATGCAGAAATTAAAGAAATCTGGGTCCCTTTTGCAGCTGACCTTCAGGGATAATGCTGATTTGCGCAAATGCTTTCTGTACCAACTAAGCCAAAAAACAGGTGAGTGGTTCCATCTGCAGCTGTGCTTATGATTTTGAGCTCTGAAAACACAAATTATGTTTAATGCTATGTTGATCCATTCATGTTGGGGAAGGGAAGAGGTCTGGCAAGCATTCTCCTCAATCTGTTAGGAGTCCAGCAACCTCCAGGAATTCATAGCATACAAGAGATGAGGGCCAGGAAGTGTGAAGGGTTATTGTGACCTACAGAAACCATAGCTTCTGTTTCCCATGAGTCTTTTAGTGTTCTAGTCACAAAGGGCTAGGATATGTGTACCACCCTCCTTGGGCACAGATCAACCTACACAAAGACTGGATGAGACGTCCTCATGGGTTGATTGTGTAGTTGGTTCAGATCCTACACGGTCCTGATCCTGCAGCATCACTCATTCAGGGATAAGGAATGCAGAGAGGGGAGAAGATGCCATCTGCTCCATGGACATAATCACAGAGGTCACTGGCCATCATGACCCAGTGATCTCTATGCCCAGCAAGGGATCAGAACTACCAACTGAATGGCCCACTCGGTGCTCCCATGCAAGTCAGCCTGTTCCAGAGTTAGTCCCCTGGTGTACGGTCCTCCATAATTCTGTAAACACCTCTGACATGTTTCCACCTCAAGCCGTAAGTGAATGTGGCAAAGCCACAGGCTGCTGTATGTCATTGTGTGGGCTCTTACCTGCTCTGGGTTTCTGTGTGTCAGGCCAAAGTCTTAGGATTACTTCCTGGGAGAAATTTGGTTAGGACTTGGCAGAGAGGAAGGTGGACTGCAGTGTGGTCATCCCAGAGGCCTTAGTCTACACCAGCACGAGAGAGTAGGAGCTGAGGTGTCCCTACAGTGTTATTCTGAAATGGCACGAAGAAGAATCAGCTGTATCCTGCCTAGCTTCATGTCACCCAGCCACTGGTGCAGGCTGCCTCCTAGTATATGATCATAAAATAATATCCTTGATATAGGTGGTGGGGGAGTGCCCACCTAAGTGAAAGGACACTGCATTGCATGCTGTCAGTTGTCCTTCTGCCCAACAGCTGGGGCTCTATCTTGAGGTAGGAGCTGAGTGCTCACACACTGCCCAGAGCTCATCATGGGCCCTAAGGCCTCCAGAACAATGATGTGGGTGTTTATCTTGGAAGACCACTCTGTGTCATGAACAACTGAATATTCTTGGCCCATAAAGTGGTTATTTTGCCTTTCCTCTCCCCTCCTCTCTCCTCTCCTCGCCCCTTTCCTCCTCTCCTCTCCTCTCCCCTCCCTTCTTTTTCTTTCTTTCTTCTCTTGGAGGGTGTGGAAAATAGATGGTGAGCATTTAAATTGAAAAAAAAAATCATTACAGTAAAAAGACACATTGCCGTTAATGCCCCTTAAAATGCTCTCTCTTTTGAACACACTTATCCTATCATCCTTGACATCTCCTGAAGTAGTTCTGGAAGTCCTTTATAATGAGTGTCTTTACGAGCTGTGATAAAAATACAGCATGTGCCGCTGCCAAGTGCCATGCCAAGGAGAGGCAGGCTGGTGAAAGCATTAGTGGGTGACTTCATCTACTTTACTCACTGCATCTGGCATCGTGACCCTTCTGCCTCTTCCCCAAAGTCCAAATGAGTGTGGAAGGTACACATTTTTAATCAACTTGGGGCACTGAGGCAGCTACAGCCTCACAACTAAAGATATTCAGGAGAGGACTGCTTCAGGCAGTGAGAAAAGCTGTGGGGTAAATGTGTCTGCAAGGAGCAGTACTATTTTGATGGGGATTAATAACAGTGTATCTTTCGCTGTGATCTTTTTGACAGAAGTGTAAGTATTCACTGTAGTGTTCAATCACACCTCCTATAGGATGCTTTTCTCACAGGCTTGCTATGGGTCTCCTTAGCTTCCAAGAGTGAGGGGAGCCAAGCCTTTATTTCCTCTCTCAAGTACCAGAGCACCAGAATAGGGCCCCCATCCTTTCCTCTCACAGGAACATAGTAGGCTCTGTGTGGCTGCGCATTCTTAACCCCAAGGACCAAGGCGTGTGCCCTGTGTCACATCAGCCTCTGGCATCGCCTCACTTTGCCCTCTCCAGGGGAGGTCTGTGGTGTGTGTAAAACAAACTGGAGGGTGTTCAAGGTAAAACCTCCTGAATGAGAACCGCTCACCTGCTCTCCTGTTCCAGGGCTGCAGTATTTTAAGAATGTCGTGCTGGTTGCTTCCCCTCAAGACCGTTATGTCCCATTCCACTCAGCCAGAATCGAAATGTGCAAAACTGCCCTCAAAGACAGGCACACAGGTAAGCTTCATGTCACCTTGAAATGCTCCCTGACTTCCAAAGTAAAAATAAATCCATGACGTGGCCTTTGCCGATCAGGCAAAGCTGGCTCTGGATTACATAGTATGTGCTTGTCATAGAACTGAGTGGCAGGGCAGGCATAGCATGTGTGTGTGTTCAGTGCCCCTTGAGTTATTGTCCTGGTCACACCTTTGCACAATAGCAGTCACTTACTGGTCAGACATAGAACCATCCTTCAGCTCCCGATGTGAGCCAGCCACTGAAGCAGAAGATGGACAGAACTCACCATCAAGGACTCACTGCCCAGTTAGGGCACTGCAGCAGCATGATAGCTGGGACAACCCATGGGGAAGGGAAGTAGGGAGGTACAGTGACTAGCGTCGGGGTGGAGGAGGGCCTGGGCCTGAGCCCAGCAGGGCTCCTGGAGATGGTGGAGCCAGTCCACCTTCATGGGAAGATGGATTGGCATTCCTAGTTTCCTTCAACTAATTAGCTTATTCCTATCAGGCATTTTGATTTTAGTTTTAGACAAATGTACTTTTTGTTGTCTTTTAAGACATTTAAGGAAAACCTGTGAAAGGTTCAAAAGTTTTATATATATATACGTATATATGGATTATACTTTTGCTGTCTCATAGGTGATCTAAAAGTAAACTGAGGCACATAACAAAATGATACTTTTATTTAAAAGAGCTCTTTTGTCGACTACTTGAAAAGTCAACTGTATTTCAGCAAGTGTGGTCAGATCTCATTCTACCTCTACCATTACACAATATCATATTGCCTTCCAGAATTTTTGTATGTCGTACTGAAAGTCACAATTTTGTATGTGACCTAGTTTATCATATTGTCACATGCATGTTCCTATGTTAAAAAACCAGACATAATTATTTTCTAGCATTATGCTTTATTTACAGGTATATCACAATTTAATAAATAGTGCCCTAGTTATTGGACATATTTATTCCTTCCCGAAGATTTTGAAGCATATCATGGTGCAAGCCTTTGTGTACATGTTTACTATCAATCTATAATATTTCATTGAAGTAGATTCCTAATTATGCATTACTGGAGCAAAGTATTAATAAGTTAGTGTCCTTGAAGATTTTTGCTAAACTGATCCTAAAATAATTACATAGCAACATTTGTTCTTTTAAAATTAATTTTACTGGTACATTTTAGATACACATAATGATCACCTTCATTAGTGGAAGCTTGGACCTTTACATGATATTTCTTGATTCTTTTTTCCGTGAACCCCCATCCTCCTTTCAATCTCTCTTCTCTTTCTTATTTGCAAAAGATTTATTTTCATTTCCTTTCTTCTTTTTTTCTTTTCCTTTCCTTCCTTTCCTCCTCTGCATCCCTTGCTCCATTTTCCATTTGAAAATTTAATTCCTATTTCTCTGTATTTGCTATAAATTTTGGTTCTTATTTACCCTCTCCGGTTTTCCCACTGGAGAAATAATGTGATATTTAAACATGTGTGTCTGATTTATTTCATTTAAAAGTATGGACTCTTTTTTTCCCTTCCATCTTATCCCCTCTCCTCCTCCCTAGTTCCTATGTCTTTTGAACAGTTTTTTTCCAACTTACAGTAGGATTTCTATACCTTGCTCTTTATTTACAAATTTGGTATATCATACCAGAGAACTGATACGATAGTTACTCACAATAAGAGTATTCCTTACCACATTGTCTACCTGGTGTGAGAAACCAAAAGTGTAAATAAAATCCAAAAAAGAATGAGATTATTCTGGGGATAAAGTATTAATGATATTTGCTAATAATTTTTAAAATATTTCAAATGGTGATGCTTTTTCATACATAAATTTTTCAATCTATTTTTAGTTTTTTCTAATTACATGTGAACAGTGTTAACACTTATGGCAAAAAACAAAGCTTCACTGAGTTGAGTGACCTGATTTTAAATGTACATGTGATCAGACACAGTCACTGCTGATGCATCTCCAAATCTCTTCAGAGAAGGCCTAAAAAAAAAAGAAAGAAAACTATTTTTTCCTGAAGTTTCCACTGCACTTCTTGCCCTTAAAAACCAGAGCCCCAAATGGTTTCTCCTACTACTAAGGGGTGAAAAGGAAACAGTGTGACTTATTCCTATAGGTTGGAGCATGGTATGGCTTTGTGAGGCCAGTGTAGTCAGCTCTCCCTCTCACTATCACACTGGCTTTATGAAACATGACTTATTATTTGGAGTGAGACCCAAAGGATTATGGTACAACGGCTGGTAACTGTTTCCATAGCAAGTCAAAAGGAAAATGCCTTAATTCTCAGGATCATTCCAGAAGGTATCCTGACATGATGCAAAAGTTGCATGAGCAAGGCTGCAGAAAGACAGAACTCGGAAGTGTGGAAGCGTGAATTATTGCCAGCTTGAGTGTGCAAACTTGGTTAGTGATTAGTGACTCACTAAGTCACTAGTAATTAGTGACTTCCCTGCGTGATTCCAAGACTGCCATTGTCTGATGCAATATTGCAATGGAGTCATTTTTTCCAGGGGAGGCACAGTCCATCTAGATTTTTTTTTTTTTTTTTTTTTTTTTTTTTTTGTCTTTTTCATTTTTATCAGTACCAGGGACCGAACTCACGACTGCCTGCTTGCAAGGCAGGTGCTTATACCGTTGAGCTAAATCCCGCTATCTAGACTTTCAGTTAAAAAAAGAAAACAAATCACCAACGTCAAAAATGTTCTCCTCACTTCTCCCTGGGAGAAGCATCAAGGGAGTGATGAAACGCTATTGATTTGTGAGATATTTAACGTCAGAAGTGTCTGCTGTCCTGAATCCCCTAGGATGAGTCCTAGCACTGTGGCCTTCTGAGATGGAACTGGACTCCCTGAGCTCCTCCTCGTTCCTCTCTTTTTCCCAATGTCCCTACTGAGCAGGCAGCACCCACTGAGGACCCTCCCCACTTCAGGCATGGCATCTGAAGTCTGGGCTTACAAAGCCACGTGGGATTCCCTTTCTCACCCCTTCATATGGTAATTTAGCTGGCAACAAGAATTTGAAGTTTGGTTTTATTTCTTATTCATTTCACGAATATTAGAAAGAGGTCAGAAAGTGGCCCATAGTGTTCTGCCCGGGATAGGATCCTCTCACCCAACCAGAGTTTTCTCTAAATTCTGTGGCTAACTTGAGCACTGGTTCTCATCCTTCTTCCTTCCAGGACCGGTTTATGCGGAAATGATCAACAACCTGCTGGGTCCCCTGGTGGCTGCCAAAGACTGCACTTTAATCCGACACAATGTGTTTCACGCCCTGCCCAACACTGCCAACACCCTGATTGGCCGTGCTGCGCACATCGCTGTGCTGGACTCGGAACTATTCCTAGAGAAGTTTTTCTTAGTGGCTGGACTCAACTACTTCAAGTAGTGGCTTGGAGGAGGCGGGCATTGGGTAACTTACCAGAAAGGTTTAAGGTCCCTTGAGTTTTCTGTTGGAGACAGATTTTTATACACCTCTGCTGTTGGGGTGGAGCTGAGAATGTCTGAGATGAATGGAGGCTGAGGTAAATCTGGACCCCAGGCCTTTTCTTTCAGAGATTTAAAAAAGCTGAACAAATAGTGCAAAAGATAAACAACAACAACAACAACAAAACAGCTTGGCTTGAATTTGTCTGGCTGCCTGGGCGCTCATGAAGGATATTTTCTAGGAAAAATTTCTGGAAAATAAAAAAACAGAATACTTGGAGTTGGTGAGCCCACCTTTTAAATCACCACGGCTCACTGAGATCTCATCAACTTAGCTAGATTTGTCCTGTATCTACTAGGTCACAGCTTTATCATTTTTATTAAATTAAGTGCACACAAGCATTTCAGAACTCAGGTTATCCTCTGTGCAGAAGTGGAACCTATTTGTATAAATAGAGTCCTTATTAGATTCAAATGTACCATTTGTTCAAAAAACCATGGCACCCATTTCACATATTCTCTTCATGTTTTCTAAACAGATGCAAAAGAATGAGTGATAATTCCCCATGTTATTTCATAGTGGCAGTGGTGGGGTGATTTACAGTGAGGAGGGATCAGTGCAATGCTGATAATAATTACAAGTTTGTTACAAAGAACTGCAGGGAATGCATCTGACTAATTTCTCCACTTATTTCCTCAGACTTTCTCTATGCATAGCCTGGCCCACAAATTATTTTTGTGATTGCTTTACCTTTTGTCTGGACTAGAGAAAAGTACATAAGATTAAGCAGAAGGGGACACTGAGATTATGCACGCATGGGTAAAACTCCTGCTGATGCACTTCCAAAGAAACGCTGTGCTTGCACTGGATGCAACCGCCAAAAATCAAACCATTCACGTGGCCAGCTGCTTCTCCTCTCCCGGCATGGAGAAAGGCATCTGAATGGAGGAGCACTGAATACAAACCTCAGGGGAGCTCTCAGAAGGGTGCTGGTTATCTTACAATAGAGACGTTTAATTGCCTTAGGAAAATAAAGGGCTAGGAGTGGTCACTATTGATAAAAACTGATAGAAAACAGGGACAAAAGTAGGGTCAGATTGGAGAACAAAAGCCAGACTGAAGACTCAAATTAAACTACTGTAAGTCAGTGACTTATGGGAACACAGTGGCTTTGTGGGCCTGGGAATCAGAAACCATGTACAAGGGAGAAAGTGTACCAAATGACCAGGATATTTAATAGGATCCCAAAGTCTGTGGTACTCTGTGCAGGCTTATCAATCATTTAGTTATAGGCAAGGAATACATGAAGTAGGACTGCTGGGAGGAATAACACAGGCAAGGAATCTTCTGGAAATGGAAGCTCCTGCTTCTTCAGAAGGTTTCTCCTTCAGCACAGGAACTTGGTCAAGCACCCTGGCAGGCCACTAATACCATGCAATAAAGCCAAGTGAATCTTGGGTCATTTGAGAGTTTTAGATTCACATACATTAAATGCAGACTATGGGGAACCAGTCCAGGCAGGCAACTTTGCAAAACAGTAGACTCGTGGGTTTCATCCAAAAAAGTGGTGGGAGGGTGTTGAGGATTTTGCAAAAGCAGACATCCACACTCTGGATTTTGGATTCCACTGTGTGTCTTTTCTGAATGCCCTGGTATGCTGGTCAAATAGTTTTGCTTCATCTTCTGGTCACCTTCCCTAATGGGTATTTGTCCTGAATGCTTGACTGGGTGCTGGTATAAATTCTGGCTCCTTATGAGCAGCAATGCATTCGTGCTGTACCCAGCAGACACTTGCTTTCTGGTTGTGCAGCTCATGCTGAAGTGTTTTCTGGCCTCGACACAGGCTCATGCCCAGACAGGTCCATAGGTTAGTGGCAACTTCTCCTTTCCAGCTCTAACTAGAGCTCTCCCCCTCTGAAGGGCACGATTTCATGCTGTGTTTCCAGTTCTCATCAGCATCTGTCATTCCCCGGTCATTTCTAAGACCATGTAGCCAACAGTTATGGAGTCTCGATGAATCTGATGATCATTTTTTCCAATAACCAGATGCCATTTTACCTTCAATATGCTGTCTGGACACAGTGAGAACTAATGGCAATAAATGTCCAGCTGCATGCTGCACCTCTTTTTTATGGGGGTGTCCTTCTGTCTTTGGAAATCATTTCTGGCCTCTGAGCATCTGTTATAATCATGTAGAAAGTGCATCTCTATATTGTAAATAAGAGTCCAGTGTTGTGTGACATGCCTCATTTGAAAAGGCTTTTTTATGTGTCTTTCTATTGAAGTATAGATATCTAATATATATATACATAATATATATATATGTATATTGTAAAACAGGGACATTCTATTATTGATTATAACAATTATTAACAAAATGCCTGCCAAGGTAATGGTGGTATAGTATATCTCCATTCACTGCATAATTTGTGGTTTTTGATTTTATGATTTGTTCTTTTCCAAAACTAGCTAGAAATAAAAATTTGCTAACATTGAGATTACATCAAATTGTTTTTCATGAGAGGCAAATAAACACAGAGAAACAGATAATACCCTAATGTCATATTGGAGGAAAAAAATATACCTTGGTGGCAGGTTGACTGCAGGTGGAGTGCTATAATCCTGGGATACAGGTGAGAGGAAAATCCTTGTGAATGGGGTTGCAGAGTAACTACATCTGGGCCATATGGGAGCACAGAGGCAAAACACACAATCCCTGCTCTCAGGGAACCTATAGAAGATTCCCTTCCTTTTTCTAGAACGTGGCCTAAGGAGGTGAGTGCTGTGTTGAAGCATGACAGGTGCAAGGTTTGTCTGAAAGTCCATTCTGTCTTGCATAGGAAGGACCACACAGACAGCCTTGACAGTGAGGCATCAAAGGAGAGACCTTTTGCCTAACACATACACTCTGATTATGTCATTCACTCACTTGCTCGTTCATCATTCACTTATTCATTCATCCATTCATTCAACAAGTTTGCACTGAGGAACTGGTCTGTGTCAGAGAATTATAGGCAAACTCAGTAGCTCAGGGTCTGGCAGAATTCACAGCCCATCAGTGTTTCTCAGAGATTAGACAAAAGAGTCTTAAATCACCTGAGATCAGAAAAGATTTCATAGAAGACTCCTGGGGTCAAAGCCAACACAAGAAGACTGAAGGAGTTGGTTCATGAACATGAGTTGTTGGGAATCTCAGTGAGAAAGAGAAAAAGAGAGGAGGGGAGGGGAGGAAAGGAGAGGAGAGGAGAGGAGAGGAGAGGAGAGGAGAGGAGAGGAAAGGGTGGGGGGAGGAGAGGAGAGGAGCAGGAGAAGAACTTCAAAACCTAGTATCCTGGAAAGGCAGATAGACAGACAGTGTGTTTGAGTACAAGAGTTACAAAAAGGTGTGGAAGGTCAGCTACTATGCAGGATTTTCTTTTTTACATTGAGAGGAAATCTCTATTCTTAATTCTAGTAGAAAGCCTTCACTTAGAACAAATGCCCTGGAAGACCACAGCTGCCCTAGGCTCGTGTCCTTTGGCCTGGCTGAGGGAGACCTGCCTGGTCTACTTTGCCTTGTAGGAAGTCCATGGCTGACTCCTCCAGATCCTTTATTCCTGAACATACCCTCTGATGAGCATAGCAAATGTGATGGTGAAATGCCAAGACATGTACACAGGATGAGAAAGGAAAAAGTCACTTTATTATTTTTTCTTTTAATGTATGGAAGCAAATGAAATTCTCCATATTGTTGCTTGATATGACAATGTAAATTGCTCACAGATTCAACAATTTTGATAGAAGGACAATATAAAGAAACACACTTAATCTTCAGTGTACAGTGGGCAGTCTGCAGCATTATAAGACTGAGGTAATTTAGCAAAAGCCAATCCTTCCTCAGTTGACAGATGTTTTATGACAGCCTACAGTGAGCCAGAGGTTGCCCATAAATTGAACAAACAAAAAGATTCAGACCGTTCTAATGGCATGTGTGTGTGTGTGTGTGTCTGTGTGTGTGTGTGTTTGTGTGTGCGTCTATGCAAGGGGACTTTGAAGAGTGGTAGAAGGTCACAGGCATGGTGAGGACACAAAGGCCTCATAGAAGGGTCCTTCAGAAGAGGCAGTTGGTGTCAACCTTATTAGCATGCGCATGAAAAAGATGCAAGGAGAAATACCAGCACTTGGTCCTGGGTGCCGGGGTCTACAAGTCAATTTATTTTTTTGGAAAATGTTCCCATGCTTTCTATCATATACCTCAGTGTCTGGAACACAGAGAACTAGCTTCTAGAGTAATCTAAATGTATGGATGTTACTGGATAATGTTTTGCCAGCCATTAAAGTAAGTTATTTCTCTGTATTTGATCTTCTCCTTCATGATGGATTACAGAGGGAGTATTTCCATATTTTGCAGATCTGGTGGTGACTATATGGCTTTAAAACACAATCCTTGTATCGCAGAGTCAGATCACTTATAAGGAGATCATACCTAGATTCTTGTTCATCTAGTCTTTTTTCTTTACTAATAAAGTTATAAAGGAGCAGAAATAGCATGCGATGTCTACATTTTGTTTGCTGGCTTTTACCATGATTTAACTTAATCCTTAAAGAACCTTGTAAATGATCCTGGGAAACCTGAAATACCTTGTGAAAGATCCTATATCTAGCCGTGGTAGAGTCAAGATTGAACTCTAACCTTCTTTACACTACAATTCTTTAGATTCAGAGAAATTACTCATTTGTAAAAATTGACATCCTTCTTTAAATTAAATCCAGAGTCATTGTCTGTGTCTCTTAAACCACAGCTTAGTTACATTCTATTACAATGTATTCTTGTATTAGATGCCTGCTTAATCAGGCAGCTAAATGGCATGAGAAAATGCTATTCAGCCCCAAATATGGTTTTCAAACACAATTCAGTAAGCACAATAGAATGATTGGCTGAGCTATTTCATTCTTGACTGGTGTCATGTTCATCAGTTACTAATCTCAAGAACATTTTGTGGCTTTATAGCTAGAAGTTTCCACCCACAATTCATGATGCCTTCCTATCCTATCCGTAGCTTCCATCCACACTATTCATGGTTCTGTCACTCCTACATTAACATAGCTGATTGTATTGATCTCAGAAAAAACTTTCCTGTAACAGGATTCAAACCCTGCTTCAGGGTAAATCTGATCCTAATTCTTTGCCCTAACAGCTAAATTTCTCTTGGTCTCACAGTCTCTTTTCTCAGTCCTTCTCAAATGCATTCCCACATACTTGTAGGACTCTCATCGTGCAGAGACCCTTGAGTGCATCTAATTCATTCCTGCTGCTGCATAGTGGGAGTCCAAAAGTATTTTCTGGAAAGCATCAATTCCTTTCAAGCTCACATTTTCTTCTCCAGACTTTCAAATTGCCTTACACCAGCTTCTTCTGCAAAAACAGTTTGACATTGGGCAGGGGTGTGCTCTAAGCTTCGGAATTTGTAAGAACAGAGCACCCCTATGAAGATATGTCACAGTGGAGCTTTTTAGTCTGTCTCTTCATCTGCAGAGAACAACTGCAAATGTCTTTATGAAAACTGACTGGGGCCATGGTCAAACAGGAAAAGCAGGGATCTGGAATGGTGCCTGTTATAAAGCATGTATTTGAAAATCTGGGATGGAAGTCACTTAGGAATATTTCCTAGCAAAAGGGAGTGTCTTAGTTTCTTTTCTTATTGCTGAGACAAAACACACCACACCCAAAGTTTAAGGAGGAAAGGTTTATCACACCTTATAGTTTGTAGAGTTTTCAATACATAATTGGTTGGCTCCATAATTGGCTGGCTCCAAGGCAGGGTAGCATGACAAAGGTGTATCCTGGGGAAAAGATTGTTCATGTTGGGTAAAAGTAGTCAAGAAGCAGCCAGCAACAAGGGACAACAGCGGCCTTTTTCTGGTCTCTTATATCCAGGCTACACCCCCTTAGCATAAGTAGCACCCACACCCACATTGGGCCTTCCCACTATTCATACTGGAACCTATGCCAAACCAATCAGTAGCCAAATTTAGCAGTTACACACCTTTGATCCCAGCATCACATATTCTAGATCAAGCCACTTCTGAAAAAGTCCCACCTATATCCACATGAGGCTTTTGGGAGATATGAAGGCATAAGCTATAAGAGGAAGTTTCCCTGTAATACATTCTGAAATTCTCCGTGTGGCTTTAACGTGATTCATGTGTGATGATTTGAGGGACATTACCTAGTCTAAAATGTCAGGGTTAACCTGCCTAATGACTAAATAGGATATTTCACTGTCAGTCCAGGAGCCTCCCAGCCTGACTCTTTCAGGTTAATTCAGTGCATGATTGGATGATCTGTGTAATAAAGTTATTTTTTTTGCTTGGGTATAGTGTACACCACTGTTGAGAGTTGAGAGGTAGCAGCATGACATCCATTTAAAGAACAGGCACTGGCAAGGTCTAAAATCTCCTTTAGACCAAGGTTGAAATTACTGCATATGACAAAATACCTTGCTACATTCTTTATGTCTCCAAAATTCAGTAATAAAGTGCACCTGATGTTGTATACATACATCTTTTCATACACACATACTTTTGTCTTTTTTCTAAATTTTTATTTCACATATATTTTTTCTCCATATGCAGCAATGTGAAAGTTTGTGATTTTACTTTCATTCATAATTTTCTCATAACTCATCTTTGAATACATTTCTTTATAAACAGTATCTATTTAGTCTCTGCTCAGCTGTGTGCTAAGCTTTGGAGGCTACAAAAATTAATCATTTGTGGCTGTGTTATTTAAGCTAGTGTGAAGAGAGGATGTGTGGGGACATAGTCCAGGGTAGAACAAGTCAAAAGACCAGGTAAGAAACCTTAAGAATGATACCATCCCATGCCTCTAAAAACAAATCACTCCCAGTATTGGGCTTCTGTTGCCCCATTGGCATCTGGATACAGTAAACTTGCTCAGGTGGGAATCATCAGTCATATCAACCGTGCCACCTAGGTAGTGTTTCAAAGCTTCCTGTGGCTCCCATTCTCAGATCAGGATCATGGGAGAACGTTTACAGAAGGATGAGATGAATGGAGAACACTGAAGTTCAGTCTGGCAAGAGGCATCTCTCCCTAAATAGATTCCACCTACGTGATATACAACAACTTGGGTTTTCGGTGACTAAGCTTGTTACTTCTTTTCAGATTAGTAGACAAAACACAGATGATCAAATAAATAAAAGACACATTATCAGTGCCAAAAAGTGTTACCATTCTTAGATTTGGCGAAGGGAACCATCCAGTCATTTATACTTAATGATGACAGGGCAGTCAGTACTGTGGAATTTGTCATATATTTTATTTTATATTTGTTTTCAAATATTACGTATTGCTGAAGATGGTAGGGTACTTGTCATGGTCCCTTTTTCAAAAATAAAAAAAGGAACCTGAATGTATCACTTGATGCCACTGTGAATCCTAACATACTTATTCTCTTGACAGTATCTGAATACAATAATTTCAATGTCCTGCACACTCTTACAAACTATTACATAGCCACCTTAGAAATATCAATGTAATTAATGTCAATATAATTTCACTATTTTTCTACATTTGCTTCTTGGTTGGCATTTTGTGTAACTTGTGATATATACAAATGATAAACAAACATGACAATAATAAAGATCCTTTTGCCAGAAATTTTGGTCTATGATATCTGTAATAGCTACTGTTCAGCATTTATGTCAATAATTTTTCCATTGCTCTATGATAAAATATCTGATATCAACAAATTAAAAGGGACAAAGATTTATTTTGGCTCATAGCCTCAGAGGCTTCAGTCCATGGTCACTTTGCCCTGTCACTTTGGGTCTATAGCAAGATAAAAGGTCTCACCGAGAGGGGAGTGGTATAGTGAGACTGCTCACGTTATAGTCACCAGGAGCGAAGTGGGGAGAGACAGAAGTGGGAGGAGAGGGCAGAGAGGAGAGAAGAGTGATGTGGGAAGACAGAAGACAGAAGAAAGAGGAGAGAAGAGAGAATGAGTCCCATGTTCTCTTTCCATGATGCACACATAATGCCCTAATTTCCTTCATTAGGCTTCATGCCCTACTATAGACAGGCTACCAAGCTGTCAATGCATAGCTTTTGGGGTACACTGAAGACTCAAATGGTAACAGGCTCAATGGTGTCATTTCTAGATTTTGTCAGAGGACTCTTGGAGTATGGATGTTATTCTGGAGCACACACTAAAGAAAGGACTAGGGTATCCTAGGATGGCTGCTAAAGCAGCACAGAGCACATGGCTGGATCCCAGAAGAATTAGATTAGGCCAGGGAATGGGCCATGCCATTCAATGGAAAAGAAGACCAAATCTTCACCTCTATGTTCAAGCCACCTGGTTATTCAGAGTAATTACCATCAGATGATTCTCATCCCAAATGCATCTTTTGAGGTATACTCTGGTCCCTGGAATGAGTCTTGATGACCTGAAGCAACATGTTGGTAGTAGTGAAAGTATATCCCTTGTTTCCTGCTCAATTGAAAAGCCAGCTCTATGTATCATGTGACTACTCATTTCCAGGAGAAACTATCCATGGCTGTAGCCCATAACTGGGAAAGGGGACCCAGAGTAAATGTGCTATCCATGTAACATGGTCTCTACATTCACAGCCTGCAGTCTCATTGGCCTCTAAACTTTGGGACCCCCGCTCTACTGAAAAGTTCAAAACGATTAAGCTCATTATGGTGGCCAGCTGAGCTAATACATCAGTCAGGGTCCTGTATAGCAGGCAGGGGGGCAGAGAAGGAAGGTAGAATCTTGGCCAAACTACTGAAGATATCCCTAGAATCTAAACTGGAAAATGTAGTGATCATCAAGCTCCCATAGGAGGAGGATCAAACAGAGAACCAGCTTGGGCGATGGGCTAAGCCTTGCCAAGTGGGACACCTGTAAAAGCAGGATCTGACTGCTGGGCGGTCAGCTACTACAGCGACATCAGGTCCCTAACACCTGTCTGTGAAAGCCAAGAAATGCAGCTCTGTGTCTGCCACATTGACACCAAGATTCTGCATCTGAGTGAGGCACACAGTTTCCAAACAAGGAGAGTTCAAGAGTATGACAATTGGAATGAAAGGTGTACATTTCCAAAATATTAGATCAAATATTTTTGTTTTAACCAATTGTGTGTTTTATATTTTACTCTTCTTTTTCTTTACATTCCTTGATCCAGTCAGTTCTGAAATTGGAAAGGTAGGTATCATTCCCCTCAATTTACAGACAAGTGCTTAGATTCTGGTAGCGTTATACCTACTGTCAAAGTCAAGAGCTAAACCTAACTCTAATCTTGTACAAATAATATGAAGATCTCTGAAACTTGAAATTATTGTGTAAAATTATTCTGGGCAAAGCCACACTGTTCTGTAATCACAGATGCAAATGGTGCTCATGTGATTCTTCTTTTTGACTCTACCCAAGCTCTTTGAGATGTCCCATTTAGCAGATGATTATCACCAAGTTCTATGAGATGGCCCATTTAGCAGATGATGCACAGAAAGTTTAAGTATTTGACTAGAATGTTTCAAGAGTCCTTTGCAAGATGGACTACCCCACAGAGGTTGGTGAGAATCATCTGCTCATTGGGACATCACACAAAGTTTGGTAAGGATCCAAAAGAAACCCAGGACTCTCTTTGATGTAGTTGTACTTATTTTATGTTAGTGGAAATGCCCTCAAAAATATTTTTTTCTGTGAATGGTGTCTCCATGAAAAGCATCCCCAGTTCAATTCTGATGGGAAAGCAGGAAGAATCATGCACAAAGTGTATAGAGGACAGGCATGGAGAACAACTTGAACAAATCTCACAAATTGTCTCAGGTCTCCTATTTGAAAAATACTTAAATCGCTGAGAAAATGTGGCATCAAGGCACAAATACAGGAGAAATAGGAAAATGCACAGGACTCTGATTTGTGTCTGACAACTGGCGAGGCACTTTATAAACTTATAAGCCAGTGTAACCATACATGGTTTGTTGCTGATGGGATCAGGGTAAAGGAACTTGCTTGGGTTCACACTGGAAATCAGGCTGATCTTTCTCTTGCTCTTATTGTGTCTGTGATTGTTAGTTGTGTTGTCAATTTGAATAAAAACCACTTGGCAGATTGGTAATGGTCTGCATCTGTCTGTGGATGATTGGCATACAGGCTAAAAACTAAGGAAGGAAGACCCACCCTGGATTTCAGTGGAACCAAGCTAATTGGTTGGCAGCCTGGAGAGAATGGAAAGAGAAAGAAGGGTGAAATCTACCTCTTTTCTTTGGAAGAGCTCTGGTCTTAGCCACTGCCTTTGGTTGCTGGTCTCCAGTTCCTCTGGGATTCTAGTGTAAAACTTCAGCTTTCCAACACAGGCCTTCCAGCTTTCTGACAATAACTTGCATTTCAATTTTGCAGTGAGGTCCCAATATTTTGACAGGATCTTCTAGCCCTCCGGGGCACAGAAGGTCATTTTGTATTCCTCTGTTTCCGATCTGAAGGACAGCTATCGGGACTTTCCATTTCTAATCTTGTAAGCTTAACTAGTAAACTCCTGGTACCATCATGCATATATTTTGGGTTAAATCTGTTCCTCCAGTGAACCTTGGTGAACAATGACTTGCAAAGACTTCCTTCTTCTGAGCTTGTAGCTTCTCCCATGATGCCTGCTTCTTTCCCTACACACCTACTTCTTGCACCTTTTCCCCCTGCCTGCACGCAGTCTTCTTTATAGGTCTTTGAGCGCTTGGGCTTACTCCTGCCTCAAAGGCTTTGCACGGCCATTCCCTACCCCCAGGGTCTTCCTCTGGCTAGACAAATGCTTCCTTCTTCTCTTACTTCTAGCTTTTGTTCTGAAGTGTTTCCTTGATCAAAAATCTCTTTGATTCTCATCCTATCCTAGAAATGTCACAGGCTACTTTTTTTTTGTCTGTACGCCCGCAGTATTTACCTGCATCTAATACTTAAAACCTGTCTTACTTCTTGGTCTTGATTATCTTTCCTCACCAGAATGTCATCTTCATGAAAGCAGGAGATGTGTTTTTTGGTCTGTCTTCTGCTTCTGAATTCTAGTGCTTAAGTACATAATAGGTCCTTAATAAAAATGTGGTGAGTGAGTGAGGACATGAATAAATTCATGCTTAGTGGACACTGGCTAACAAATCTGTTGAAGCATTTCACCATCTCCCTGAAACATTTTTAACTCCTAGTCCCAGACACAGGGAGCCTCTCCTGTGCTCTGTCACTAGGTCTCTCCACTCAGGGACACTGCAACTCAGCCTGTGCCTTCAGATGCATTCTAAATGGCTACACCTCTCTGTGCTGCAAGCCTGGCCTTGCAGGTGGTTGAGCAGGGATTCTCAGGGCCTGCAGAGGGCACCCCAAGACCAGCAAACAACCAGTCACTCTTGAATGTTGGAGACAGAATTATTGCTTCCAACTCTTTGCTTGGAAATTTAGAAATGAAATAAAATAAAATAAAATGGCATCTGTGTTGGAAACAAATGAGTAACACGGAAACCAAGAAGCTAGAATTAGTGAGAGTCCATATGACTGGTTATATTTTAGCTAGGATTAACATGATAAACACATTTACGCCAATTTAATTTATAAGTAACAATTGATGTGTGTTTCGTGTCCGGCCTTGTGCATTTAAGAAGATGATTCTGCCCCAAACTGACTCTTAATTTGTTGATATTCTTACAGCTCCACAGTGGCCTTCTCAGAATAAGCTACAAAAATATCCTGTGGTAGATGGAATTTATTCATTACAAATTTTTTTTTGTCTATAAAGAGAAAGGTGAAGTTTTTAAGAGATTGATGGGGTCCCTTCATTCTTTCACCAAGTATTTATTGAGAAGTTATGTTTCAGGCTCTGTTTTAAGTGCTTGATACAATCTGTTGTCAAAGCAAATAAGATCTATGCGTCACTCAAGCTTTTATGTTAGTCAAGGTATAACCCAAAACACCCGAAATAAAGAAAATGAGTGGGTTTAAAGTTATTATTGCCTCTTCCAGAAAAATTTTCCCTACTAGCTAAAGCTGAAATTATTTCTTTCTCTTTTTTCTTTGTAGTGTTCTCTATCTCTCTCTTGGTCCACACTACGCTGGTTGTAAAAGTGCCATTGATGTCTGCTTATTTTATTAAGAGTCTGAATGGTTTTACTCTGTCAGGTTGGGATCTTTTGAAGGAATGATGGCCTCATATGCAAGTGGACACCAGTATCTGTTGGCCTTTTCAGGGGTCCCGTTTCCTCATCTATAGGGAAATCTCCTTTGCTGCATCCACTGCAAAATTGATAGGAGGCAAGAAAGGCAGCTGCGCGCTCCTGACAGCTTCTCCCTCCGTACCTGGATGACTTGGGCCCTCCTCATCCTTTAGTTTTCCCTCTAGACCCTCAGGTGCTCTGTCTCCATGAGACCCCACTCAAAGGTTCGGGCTCCTGTCCTGTTCTTGAGACATGAAAAAGTACAGAAGTTTCAAAAATAATCAGTTAAGGAAAAACTGTCCTTCTAATGTTACTGTCCTTTATACTTTCATCTCTACCATTAATAAGCCAAATACCATATTATTTAAACCTCAGAAACTGCTCTTGATCAGCCTAGCAAAACAATGGCCCAGTAGAAACACATAGTGTAGTGCCTATTTCCACAGAAGGAGGGAAACACA